CAGTCGCCGCCTCGGATGTCGGCTGGCGACGAACCCCCACTCCGAGTTCAAAGTATTCAACGCAGAGACGATGCGACCAGGGCAAGAAGTTGTGGCCCATCTCTCTAGACATATTCGTGATATCTTATCTCCAGCAGCCAAGAACGGGCGCTGTCCACGACGACGAACATTGACCGCATCCGCGGACGAGAGAAATATTGAACACTGTCGGACCGGGAGATGAGCCGGCGAGGCGTATCTATGGCAAGCGACGCCTTGGCGGAGGAAGCTGAAGCTGAAGTCAGCGTCCACGCGGTTCCAAACCCAACCGTTCTTATACCGCGTCCCTCTGCTCCACCTTTCGGCCCCGCCCTTCGTCTCGGACACTCACTTTCCTTCTCCCCTCCGCTCATTTTTTGTCCTCAGCTATGCGCTCTGCCGTCCCAGTCCTCCTTTCTCTCGCCGCCTTCGTCCCCATGGCGCGCGCACACATCGGTGCGACATTCATTTCCCCAGCTTCGTGCTCGAACTCACTCCCAGAACAGCGTTCTGGCACAACTCCATGTACGGCTTCAATGTCACCCAGCAGGATTTCGACTACGACAACCGCCCAGTAACCCCCTTCATCAACTACTCGTTCCAACAATGGTGGTTCGTGAGTGCCCAGTATCCCCATTTCGTCTGCGACACGTTCCAATTGCATTTTGGCCCAGCACAACCATCTTTCTTACCCCCCTGAGCCGGGCGCAGTCTTCAATTTGCCCGCCGGTCAGGCAGTGAACGCCGAACTCTCCTGCGACAAGGGTGCCACCTCCTGGTACGCGTCCTCCCAAGGGTAAGTTCCATTTTTCTGCTCTCTTTCTTGCATCTATATGTTGACCGTCTTATCAGCGGACTGGCTGGCTATCCCACCAATTGGCCTTGCCCTGGGCAGGCGTCCTCCGAGTTCCACACGCTCAATATCAACGACACGCGCGGATGCGCTCTGGCCATTGCCTACAAGCCTAACGCGACAGACGTCCAGCCCGATGACTTTGTCGTTTTTAGCGTCAACCACACATGCGTCTGGGACCTGAATACCGCCTTCCAGGTGCCTGCCGGGATGCCTCCCTGTCCCGAGGGTAAATGTACATGTGCTTGGTTCTGGATCCACTCGGTATGTCGTACTGCCTCCATCTGTCTTTTAGCCAGCTCATACTTGGAAAAAAATCAGGCAGATAGCGGTGCTGAGCAGAGTGCGTACATCACATCATCTCCGTCGAGCTGTCATGATCCTGATTGTGGATGGCCGCGCAGACTACATGAACGGATTCAGCTGCAACGTTACTGATACCACCAGCACAACCCCGATTGGCAAGCCCATGCTTCCCAGGCGGTACGTATACGCTGACATCCTGTGCGCCAAGTCCTGACGGTGCCTTTTCTTGCGCAGCTGCGGAGAGGACCCAGACTTTGACGAGGCGGCGAACCCAGGCAACTGCACGATCGGGCCCAAGTACCCTATGTACTGGTACCAAGCAGAGGGTAACAACGTGCGTCTCCTTCCCTTCTGCCGTGTCCTTCCGTCTCCCTTGTTCCCTCAACACCTTTCCCCCATACTTACCCCGGCTCACACAGATGTTTGAGGGCACGTACATGCCTCCCGCATACAACAGCATTTACGGCTTCAAAGACGGCGCGCAGGACGATATCTTCCAGGACGCATACGTCTCCTCGCTCGGCTCGAGCAGCGCTGGTATCTACCCCAGCGCGACGCCCGTCTCGAAGCGCGCCGATGGCGAGGACGTCGATGCATCGCTTCCGCCACCGGTCACGACCCCCGCGCCGCTGCCCACGCCAGTGCCGGCGGAGCACGCGCGGATGCACAAACATCACAAGCGCCTCACGCACCGAGATTGATCGTCGCAAACAGCTTGAACATGACGCAACGCGCGGTGCGCGGGGCTTGGTGCTGGATCTCTCCCTATCTCTCTCTGGTCATCTCTGGTCACATATACCCCCTAAGTTAGTTTGAAAAATGGTTCAACCGCGAAGAATTGTCTACTCTGCAGCCTTTTCGCACCGCGTGCGATGCAGCCCGGGTTGGCGGGCACGCAGCTTTGCTGGTCTCCGCCGCCGGAGCCCAAGTTGGATGTTGGCTGTTTTGAAATCTGCGTTCATATTCTCGTTCCCTCCCTCGGCTGTATCGACCGGGCCGATATTGTGATGGTCGGGTCCTCCGTTGACGCTGCTCTCGCGAGTCGCTACCCATTCTCGCCATATGTTCAGGTGCCACTTCCCTACTCTTCATACAGCCTACTGGCCTGTCCTGTGAACGGTTATTGGCGTGCACCAACTACATATCGTATTATATGCGCCTTTCTGGTTCGAAAAAGCGTGATTGATCAACTAAAGTATCGAGATGGAGTGAATAAAATGATCGTATATATTTATCGTCACGCCTCACGTGCATGTGACGCGTCGCGTTCACACTGAAGATCTCAGCGAGAAACTCCCCGCAATTCGGGGAGGGGGGGGCCTTTAGCTTGAGTCTTGAGCCTCTTGAGTGGGCTGAGAACTGCGTTAAGCTTTGACCGGCCACACCAAAGCTCGTTCTTGGCCCTTGCCATGTTTTTGGACTTCTCAGACTCGTCGAAAACAACATCCAAAACTGAGCGAAAACACGTCCAAAACAACCTCCAAAACATTACGCTGAATGACCTTGATATCATCCGCTTGACCTCTTATCGTTGCTTTCAGCCAACACACAAATTCCACAGAGACCTCCCCGGTATCCCGGAGAGTCTTCACATGAGCATCCTAGCATATCCCCTTGAAACGGAGATTATCATCGAGCTCAAGCTTGGAGGTCATTTCTATGGGATCAATTCGACATCTAAAACCTACAATTTCCAGAGGAGCATTCAGCTTCAAGCTGAATCTCATCGAGTACAACAGGGGTCATGCAGACACAACCGTCACCGCCTCGCGGACGCTCTTCTTCTCGTCCTCATACCCGATGGACCCACTCGCAGCACTAGCGTCGTCTGCGAGGATTGCCTCATCGAGGAACGTCTCCTGCGCGGGGAATAGGCTTGATGTGACGTAGTACACAGTGGACGCAACGGTGAACTACACCAAGAACGCGCGGTGAGCTCGGCTCGCGTATCGCAGCGCTCGGCACTCACCCCGAATATCCACGCGAAGTCGAAGAGGTTCATGACGCCGCCGACTCGGATCTTGGGGTTGATGGAGTTGATCCACCCTGGGAACGTCGGCGGGACAGAGCACAGGATGGCGAGAACCGCGCGCCAGTTCTATATAATGCGCGGTGAGTAACTGCCCAAGTACGGCGAGGGTGGAAGGACTCACAAACCCATAAATGTACCGATATCGTCCATGAGGGCGGTACATGGAGGGCACGTCGACACGGCCCTTGTGGATGAGCCAATACTGCGACTCGGTCAGGAGGGAAACTTAGGTGTGCGAACTTGACTCACATCAACAATCATTATCCCAGCAAAGGGACCAAGAAAGACTGTGTAGCCATTGATAAACGTGAGGAAACCCTCCGCGCTGTGAAGCAGCGTCAGCATCGCCAAAAACGCTCTTAGCTCCGAGCATACCTAGCGAGGATCTCCCAGGGGCACAACGCCCATCCGCCCAGCAATGCACACAGCACTTGCCCTCTACGGATGTTGATGTACCGCGGACACAAGACCGTCATATCGTTCGCCGCAGACAGGGAATTCGCAGAGATGTTCGTGCCGAGCGTCGTCAACACGAACGCGAACGATGCGAAGAACGCGGCCGCACGGTTGTCCCATTGGTTGATGAGCTTCAGTGGGTCCCAGAGCGTCTGGTCATAGAGGACCATTCCAGCACTGGTGACCGCCATGCCCACGAATCCGCAGAGCGTAAACGCGACCGGAATAATGGCGAGCTGTACATATTGTCTGAACACATCGTGCTCATAAGCCCTTGCAGCTGTAATTCACGTATGAACTTACGCCTTCTCATTCTTGGCATATCTCTGAAAGTGATCAGTGAGCTTTCGTGTTGAGAGAAAAGATATGAACGCACGAACGGTGAAATCTGGGATGTTGACGCCAAGCGTTGCATATATTCCTAGAGCGCTGTTCAACGCACTGAGCCACGCCCAGGATAATTGGCTACCGGACACTGTAGCATGCTGCTTAAACAAGCCTTCGCTAGCCGGCACCTTGACAAATGCCCATATTAAGATCGCTAGCCATGTAGGCGGAACAATGATGGCCTTCGCCACGAATAGCCAACGGATCCGTTGAGGAGAGATCAGCATACAGGGGAGCTAGTAGATTCAGTTAGACTCAGAATCGGTATCGGCACGATATGAGAAGGGAGTGCATACCTGAATGAGCCAGTACAGGAAGTAACACATGATTCCTAGCCGAGGGGTAGGTCTGGCTGCTAAATGCGAGGGACGTGTGCCACATACCCGATGTAGTGATGTTTGCGGTTGCAGGAAGATGGTTTGGCATGTGAGCTATTGAAGGCCAAATCGCCTTCAGCATCTTGGGCAATGTTTTAGCTCCGCGCGAGGACACTAGTTGATCGAACATACTTGGTAGACACACTCTGATCCTGTGTAGGTTTGTATACCAAACCAGAACAGAGAGAGTAGCACGCGGCTGATCACACTGAAGTAACTGAACCAGAATCCAAATGACGATCGGTTGAGAACGGGGAATGCGACATGAAGGCGGGCTCCGATCGTGCCATTAAGAAGGATCACTACTGCGATAATACAGTGGCCAACAGCGATAGCTGGCAGCGCCTGGCGCCTTGAAAGTGGGCGGATGAGCATGATACTCTACGACACTTGGAGCGGCACGCGCACCATGATAGTCCAGTAGCCAACATACTAGAAGCAAGCTCCCACACTGCAGCATTCGTCGCGTCGGAAATCCAGTAGGCCACATAATTCAAGGTCGTCCATGTCCTCTGATGAGCGGAAGATCAGCGTGATGGAAGAGACCCATGCACATCAGAGCGCGACCTACAGCCTGCACGGGTACCGGGTCCATATCCTTGTTCGACCATCTGACGTTCGGTGCGAACGTCGAGGGCTCCGGCTCGAGGGCCCATGCCGACAGCTTCAAGTACTCAGTCGGAGACTTCTTCGCCATTGCGAGCAGCGGAAGGAGAGAACAGCGACCGGAAGAGAAATCTCATGCCCGGTGGAAGATTATATGGCCTTCCATGCTCCTTCATCGTCCCGCGCAGGTCCCGGGCATGTTGGCGCTTTGATGGGAGAAATTTGATGGAGATAGAGCCAAGATAGAGCAGCCTGGAGATAACGCCAGCGGCTTGGCTCTCACATTCCTCGGGTCTCGATGTGATAAGGAAGAGTGGCAGATGCTGGTGCTGTCTCAGTGATAAAGTCTTTGAATTGGTAAAGTATTTTGGGGGGACGAACGATGGGCAACTGAGTGGCGGCCCTCTCAAGATGTACCACCACCTAAATCAGGCAAGTGTAATGGTTCAAATTCAAAGGTGCTCTCCCCCGCGTTTCATTACTATGAGGGACAATGTCCAGCCGTCACACCCATAAACATTGACCCCCTGCCAAGAACATTGCCAATCTTCACGTAGAATAAACTTTCAACACCGCGACAACACACCACTTTACAAGTTCACGGTACCTGGAGACGTTGGAGCAGAATAACTGCAATCAGCTTGCCATCTCAAGGGAGACCGTCGGTCTGGACGCAGAAAATATTCTATACATTCAGACCCCGGGTATCTATTTACTTTAAACCTACGGATAAATCGGCACAACCAGTCCCCTCAGGGGCACAATTCGACGGAGATTGGGAACCAGACAAACATAATCTATCGAGGGGTAAAGCCAGCACGAAACTCGTACACATCAGCTCCAGATTTCAAAGCGAGGCGCCACCACAGGTCTTTATGGTCTGCCCGGTGATGTACTCCGCCTCGTCAGACACCAAAAATGAGACCAGCTTGGCAACATCCTCGGGCTCTTGGATACGTCCGAGCAGAATATCGTTCTTGACGCGTTTCGCTTTGGCCTCACCAACACTGGTGTTCTCCTATCCAGTCACACGTTGAAATGTTTCAGTCAAGCTCGTGAACATCGGAAATGCAAACTGACGATTTTCGCAAGCTCCCTGTCGATATGATCCCACATGGGAGTGTCGACAATTCCTGGGCCGTACGCTGGTGAGACAGCAATATTAGTAGAGAGTTCCCCTGTCGATCTGCCATCGTACCGTTTACTCGGATGCCATATTGTGCCCATTCCCTCGCTGCAGCTTCAGTGAAGCCCCGAACGGCGAACTTGGTCGCTCCGTAAGGTGCAAGGTTGTCTGGTAATCGACGTTGAGCCATCAGGCATATATAAAATGCGATGCGAACATACTCGCAGTCCGGTAAGAAGCAATAGACCCTGCACCTATGATGCGACCGCCGGCACCCTGCTTTACCATCTGTTTAGCAGCAGCAATATGCGTGTTGATAAGCCCGAGCAGGTTGATGCGAATCTCGTTCTCGACGAACCTAATGCAGCATAAGCGAGTCATGTAAGATGAGGACAGTCAGAATTCGCAGACTCACTCTGGCGTACACTCGAGGAGCGGCTTGACCTGGGTAACGCCTGCGTTCGCGACACTAACGAAGAGGTTAGGGCCCAGCCTGTCCACAGTTTCGTCGATCGCAGCATAAATCTGCTTCGCGTCCTTTACATCTGCGAGCGCATTGATACCGTATGCGGGCGAAACAGCCGGATTCACTCACCAGCAAAGACCCCGATAGCTTTCCTGCCGTACGACTCAATCTCCTTGATCGTGTCGTCGACCTTTGCCTTCGCAGGGGGTATGTCGGCGATGGAGACGTCGTAGCCGTCCCTGGCGAGGCGGCACGCGATGGCGCGACCGATTCCCTGGCCAGCACCCGTCACAAACGCAGTGCGCCCGAGGGCAGCTTTGATGGGCGACGCGAACGACATGGGCTGGAGTCACAGAGCGGGGCGGTTGGAGAAAAGGTGGTAGGGCGCAATAGAGGGACCATGCTGGTTCGTCGTGTTCATATAAGTAGCAGCGTGACTGGGATATCCGACGGGCCATTTGGCGAGCTTGATGCAGTTGAGGCGACGAGGAACAGACCGCGGTCCAGCCGAGGTTCAGGCTGGTCACGCGATGGTCCGCGCCGCCCGGGATGTTTCTGCGGACCGAGTGTCTCGCAAAGACGATCGTTCACGTTCGCTCCCCCTCGTCTCTGACATGTAAAATCCAATCCAAGGAGGTTTGCAAGGTGAGCTTCACTGTAACATCCGACAGCGTGTTTGATTCACAGAACAATCGACAATGAGTAGTCCAGCTAGTTGCTAGATGGATTTCTCAGCCACGTAGTCAATTCAACATTACGCAAAATTGACAATTCAAGCTGTAAGTGCCTCCAACAGTTTGCATACTGCAATGTGGGGTGCCGGAGAACGATCACGATATGGGGACCTACCACAAGATACATGTAGATTTACGTCCTGCATGAAGGAAGCAGCAAAATATCAGAAATTTCATAAGAGGATATACGCAAGTTCGTCTCAATAAATCGCAGCAGAATAAACTGGGCACATCTAGAGCGATACACATATACACAGATAGAAATAGGCTCACACAGGTCCACACCGACGCTGAGTGCATCTACAGTGTCCAATCCCTGTCGCATCATCCCAGCTTCATCATTTTCCGAATGCGCATCGCCGCGGCGCTCGTATCCGCGGTGGGTGGACAGCGGATCTTCTTCACGCCCTCTGGCGTAAGCCACGGCTCCAGTGTTCTCCCGGAGACGCGACAACGCTCAAGTTCATCCCGAGAGATGCTGCGGCCATGCGTGTCGCGGAAGTGCTTGACCAGCCCGTCTCTGCGGTTATACCACTTCCTGTCGCACTGACAGCATTTCCATGATTTGGGGAAGTGGCGGCACATATGGCGGTTGCGGTCCCTCGGTTCACGAAACGGCACTTGTCGGTCGCACCCGATGAAGAGGCACGAGTAGCCCTCAACTTTGGGTTGGTGTGGTTCTGACTCTTGCTGAAGACGAGATCAGCCGAGAGTGGGTCGAATGACAGACGGGGTCAAACTCACTAGAGGTGTGGTGTGTATATATGGACTGTCGTTGTCTTCCGCCCCAAATAGTGGATCATACCAACTGGAGAGCGAAGCAGCAGAGATGTACATGACAACCTCGAGCGCAGACATCATAAGGCCTCAGATACCAATATCAAGTAGCGTAGAAGACCAAAGGCGAAGCGCAAGTGATATACCAGCGGACACGTTGGCACAACCTCCCTCAGAGCTGCACACTTTGTGCGGGCTAACAAACTGGTGAACACATCCCAAGCAGAGCGAACCACAATGATGGCTTTGTTGTAAATCTTCCACACCACATAAATGTCATCGGCTAAAAACGAACCTGTGGATAGATGATATTCACGCACTGTGTAAAGCGTCTGCATAAGGCAAAATCCGACAAAGTAAACCTTTGACCCCATACCGTTGTGGCGTTGCCGTCTCGTAAACTTAATTCCGTTAGACATTTGTCGAATCACAATTAGCAAGGACATCCGCAAAGCGTTCTTACAGGCCCACCGTCCGAATACCGAGTGCAAAAACGTGCGATGGGAGCTAAAGAAATCTTTGTCTGTCAATGATTGAGCTTATAGAGGAACAGTTAGCTTGATGTCTAGATGACAAAAGTGATCTGGAGCTCACTCGTTGTACCAAAAGTCCAAGCCTTTTCCCGCTGGAATAACCTTGAAAGCGAAAGTGTGAGACAGGCAACCATTCAGAAATGAACGAACTGACCAAAGTCACCCATCATCCTGTGAAAACCTCATGGCAAATGAAAAACCACATCTGCTCGCCCTTATACATCCCGGACTCGGGATGCTCAAAGGAGAAGCAGAAGTCCACCTACACTCTCCCTGCTCAGTGTAGAAGTTGCCTATAGTGGTGCACTTCTGGGGTCAGGACAACTTCAACATACCCAGAACGCCGCTATCAGCTCATCGGAGACACGGTTACGAGGTTTGATAGAGCATATCTGCTGTTGCACCCCGGACGTATGGTGAAGCTGCCCACGCATCGGCAGCGCGTCCAAACCAATAACAACAGCCGGGGAAACACTAGATCGCAATATGAATCTGCCCTGTGAACACATTCATTGTTCCTTCGACCACTGGAGGCATGCGCATCATGTTCTGAGCGCATTCAAGAGGTGTTTGCAAGAATGCAGGGCAATTGATCGCGGCACCTATCGGCGTCGTAATTGGCTGGCCAGGAGGGACGCACACCAATTGGATTTGTGTATCCTACACTCGGCCCACTAGCATCTTGCGCCCCCCACAGACAGCTCTCATGTCTGGACAACAAAGGGTATTAAGAGGTCTCGAGTTTGGCACATGGCACAGATATATTAACTCACTATATTTCCAAGCCACGACTGTACAACGTGAGTCATCTTGCCCAGCGGATGACAGTACCAGACCGTGTTCATATCAACCCCTCCATGCATGCCGTCTTACCTGAAGCTTGCATGGAAAGAGACCAAGGCGAAACGGCGCAGAAGGGTGCTGCTGCATCCCCACGTTCCGAATTGTACAGATAATGACTCTGCTTCACCGTCGACCCAAGCTGTGTTCTGACCTCGGCGATGTTTGTAGACGATTGTCATCACGATGGACCAGGAGGTCCGTTCAAGTATGCTGTGCTGGTGCAAAGTATAACTTGATCAGGGAAACAGCACGTATGTGTATAGATATAGCATGAGCTGAGGCGTTGGCTTGTGGAATGGGAGGGTTGTGGTCGGAGCAGAGCGGAGACATGTAGTAGGAAATTTTTCATGGGGCATGGCTGCAAAGTCAGGCTGGCAGTACGATAACTGGTGTAGTTTGGGGGATACAACAGTGTGAGAAAGCGCAGCCAGTGCGGGAGTTGAGAACTGTGATGAGACAGCGAACCTATCGGAAAGGGGGGAGGGTCCTTGTATGCGCTCTAGTTGCCGACGCCTGTCGGGGACAAACAGTGCAACCCAATTAACGACATTGAAACTTGCGTCAGGCGCCTGTAGGATTGCACTTCCAACCAACACGACAATGGACGGAAGGAGAATGATTAGAGCATCAGTGTGCCCGGAAAATTCTCGCATTAGGTCCCTCGATACTGTACTTGTATAATTGGTGCATTGAGTAAAATATGAAATCGTCATGGGAGGTATTTTGGAATTGTAGAATCGTCGGCAGAAGAACGGCGGTTCTTCGAACAAAGATGCTAGTCACCCTTGACACAATCAGCACAACGCCGTATGCCATAATGAAGCTCTTCCAAAACGGCATCAACCATTGAGGGGGGATTGGGAAACGTTCCAGATTTGAACGAACATCGCACTGGGCCGAAGCTCTGTACGCAAGAACTTGGAAGAAAAAACTTCCCCGCGGATGCAGACAAGATTAGACAAGATCTATGTCTGATGATTTATACAGCTCCGCGCAAGAACTCATCAGTGGCAGCCAACCACGCTCATAGACGGTGTATGTCACACGCACCGGCCAGGGGTCAGAATGTGAAGCCAGAATTTGAAACTCAAAGGAAGGACTGCATGGTCCGCTCCGCGATACTTCTGCGTATATATGATCAAACAGATTCTTACAGATACCGGCGGTAACATCAAATACCGAGAGGGACCATCAAGGAAGGCTTACGGGTAGGCATGAGATGGGATGCAGTGCCCGCGACCTTCGGCACAAGACATGCTGCACCTTGCAGGAAGTGGAAAAATTGTATTAAGATGAGGATTGCAGAATTCCCAAGCATCGGTACTTCTCAGGAAGTAAGCATCAGATATGATTGTATGGAGAAATACTAGCCTATTCCGAGTCTAATCTCCACCAAAATGCTCGCAGCCCATGTTGCCATCATCCCAACACCCATAAGACGGATGTTACAGGGATCGATGCCAAACGGGGACTAGCTCGACTGAGTGCACTCGCAGCAACAAATGATTCCAGTGAGTCGGAGACTCGGAGTCGTCACCAATGACGTCGATGATTCAGTGTCAGACCACCGCGGGACGACACGAGGACTGTAGGACATACGATTCAAGGCGATATACCCACGGGCGATATAGATAACTAGATCTCGCGAAGTTGTGGGCGACGCGTTCTGCGGGAGCCAAATGGGAGCAAAATCGGCGAAAATGTGCAGAGCGCGTGAAATGTGCCAAGAAAGACGAAAGATAACCCGATAACGCAAGTCTAGACGGCGCGATGGACTGGGCCCTTGTGGAGTCTGTGGCCTCCGAACTGCGCACTCGTCAGACCTGCTGGGACGCGGAGCAGGTCAACTCGAGGGGGTGGCCAAAGCGAGCGGGGGAGCACTGTACTCCATTGCTAGCCTCCAGGGAATGGCGCAGGCACCCGGGGTAATTCTCGGTCCGCGCGGGCATAAGCTTGTCGGAATCGCGAACGGACGAGATGACGAATCTTCGGCCTGCCATTGCTGTGCGATACGGAGACGGCCCCCAGGGTAGGGAGGGCGTGCGAGGAGATGGCGAGCGGAGAAGCTGGAACTTGAAGTGCAGGGGATGGCCGTGTACGCAAAGAAAAACGTGTTTGGATGCAGGCCGGTTCCGGGTATTGCCGGGTTGGCTCACGTGGATACGGCGACGCGGTCACGGGAGGCATGAGCCAAGACGGGGTGCCTAGGAGACCGCGGGGCTGCGCGCATTGGACAATCATCCAAAGGAGACCGGTGCGGGGACCCTCGTCTCCTGCGCCTTCCCCTTTGACCGACTCCACCATTTCGAGCCTGTCTGCAACGACGTTGTCCTCCGCCTCTCCTCCTCCTGCTCTCCCCTCCCTACGCGCGACCGTTGCCGGCCGTTCTCCCAGCGTCGACTGAGGTCTTCCCCTTTCCATGCCTACCGTCCCGTCAACAAGTGTTCTTGCCTCGTCTTTCGATAATGATCAACCTCTTATCCTCGCTTCCGCCCCGTTCAGCCTCCAGGATGAGTCAAGCGGCCCCACGCCTGATCCAGAGCTCGACGACGTGGTCCTCGTTCCCCAAGAGCAAGGCAATGCTGTGACTGCAGTCAGTCTCCATTTTTTCACTTTTCCGCATCGCCCCTCACTCCCGCGTGCAGACGCATCATATCCCGCTCGCGTCCCATCAGCCCATCAAGCCACATCTCTCGCTCGAGAACCTTGTCCTCCATTCCCCCTCTTCAGGCATCGTCGGCACCCCATTCGACCTCTCCCCGCGCTTCGAGTATCCCTTCCCCGACGGTGCAGAGTTCCCAGACTCCCTCCCATCCTCCGTCTCCCTCCCCAACCTCACTTCTCCCTTTACTATGCTCGGACTTCCCATGTTCCTTCCCCCTTCCCTTCCGCTCTCCACTTTCCCGCGCCCCCGCCCTGACACTCGCGGATACCTTTCGACGCACCCTAAGCTCCACGTGCGCGAGCCTCCGGTACCACCCAGCCTTGCAAAGAAGCGGCGCATAGTCAGGGACCAGTCCCCCAGTCGCCACGGAAGCCTCAGCCTGGGGCTCACTGCCGGCCAGCGCCTCGTTCAGGATGCTCACAAGCGCTCCGTAAGCCTCGAGAGACGCCTCAGCGATGAGACGGTCGTGAGCGACAGTAGTGCCGACGGTCGTATCAAGCCTTCAGTGTACCTGAAGGAACACCTCACGCCATTTGTTGCAAACCCATCCCTGACTCTCAAATCTTCGTCCGAGGTGACACTCGTCCTAGACGACAACCATAAAGTTGGTCAGCCTCCCGGCAGCCTTAGCTCTGACACAGACTCCCTTGGAGACTCACTTGGAAGCCTTGACGGCGAGGCCCCATCCGAAGAGAAACATCAAATAACTTGTTCTGATACTCAGCTCCGTTCTTTCGCGCCATCTACCCTACGCGCAGACCCGGTCGTAGACCTCGCTTCTGATGTGTCGAACACTCCTGCATCAATACACGCTGTGCAGGCCGTCCTGCCATCATAATCCCTGGTCCCTTTCGGAGGGGCTTTATTTCTCCATTTGCGTACCATCCCTTCGTCGTTGGCAGGTCCGCTCTCGCATCTCGCGCTTCCTTTTTTTCGTCACGATTGCTACACGCTCCCGCTTCCGCCATTCATTCTGCATCTAACCGCGCATTTTACGTCATCCTGGCCCCATCGGCGTCTCGCGGGTCGCTCACGCTTCGTCTTCTGTTCTATCTCTTCGCATCGGTGAATCGCACATTCGAGTCACGATAGTTGGCCTGCGTAGCAGCATATACGTTCTTGTTTCATTCGCATTTTGCATTACTTTTATATCCTGACCTTGTCCTATGTCCTCCCTGGTTTGTTGGTATAAGTCGTCCTGTCACGTTTATTTTACGACACCCACCGAATGTCCGTATGACTCTACCCCCATTTCCTCGAACCCACCTCGCATATCATCACACTCAACCCTTATTCATCCATAGCTGTGCATATCCACCCATTCTTTCTCAAATGCACATGTACTACCTCTGTCGCTCGTCCACATATACGAAGGGATCATCTGCATGTTGTCTGTACACGTAAATTATCCGTTTTAGCTGTCGCTTTCCTGAAATTCGTTTCACTTCTGATGCTGAGCGTGAGTGAGCGCGAGACCTAATATCGGCGATGATAGTGAGATCGGCGCGCAGCCATTAAGGACTGCGCACTTGAGTGATTGTTCTCACTTGATGCGACTCGATGATCCCTTGTCGACGATCGTGGGGCCTGCAGGTCTGATATCTTGATAATACATACTCCTTACCAAACAAAACTTGTTCGTAAACCCCCCTCGTATCTCATGTGCACAGGACAGTCACAATGTTTCAAAGGACTTGTTGCCACTCAAGACGATTACAGCGTGCACCCTGGACGCAATTGAACGAACAAATCTATGCCAAGATATATTCTTTGGCGAGCCATGCAGGGGTATATCTATCTAGGATACAAAGTGCTGAGAACTAGGATCGTCCCTCGTATCTCGTATGCAAGTGGTTACAATGCCAAGATGGTCATCAACAAATCAAGATCCGTATAGTCATCGGAAAATCGTCGTCGTCGTCGTCGTCGCAGTCATCGGTCCAGCAGCGAAGCCGAATTTTGTCCTAGCGTCAGCGACGATCGTCAACATCCAGGTTTTGGAGAAGAAAGGAATGGACACACGTCAAAGTATGTTTTGGTTGATCATAGCGTATCCGCCCGATCTCTCAGCGGTGGTCCTCGTCGTTCCACGCGTGGGAAGGGAGATACGTCGATACCGTGAAGAGTAGGCATGAGAGGCAGATTAGGACGGGGTACACCGCGTACCCGCCGAGCCAGTTGTGCTCCACGGACAGCGCAAAGAGCGACGTCGCAGATGCAGGCGCGATCGCACGCACGAGCGACGCAACAAGCTGCCCGATCCCGTTCGTCGCGCCCAGCGATCGTCTGTTCGGGGCAGAGGACGCGACGTATATCAGGACGCACCCTACGCATGGAAAAACGAGCAGTAAGCATCAGCCTCAACACCGAGCAGCGCAGGCGCACTCACCGTAGCACATGTCCATCACCACTGACGTCAGGAGTTGAAGAAAGACGAGCGCCCACACGAGCGAGGTCACGCCCGCCGACGCCCGCGCGATGGCGTTCATGACAGGGAACAGAGCGAAGAGCACGACGAATGACGACATGCCAACCATGAAGACGCGCTTCGGGCCCCAGCGACGCACCGAACGCGCGAAAAATAATGCCTGGATCCCGCCATTCAGGAGCCCGAACGCACCGAGCACAGTCCCAATCCGTGCAGGTGTCATGCCCAGCCCGCCGAACTCGATTGGTGTTGAGAAGAAAAGCGGCTGGATCGCGCGGTAAATCATGTCGAGGAGCGCGAGTGAACCGTAATTTGCGACCGAGAGCAATACTGGCCATATGAGCAGTGCACGCAGAGGCGCGGGGGTCTGCAGCGCTTCCTCTCGTAGGTCTACACTATCTTCGACCAAGAGGCGGACAGATTTTTGCTTCTGCTTCTTGGGCTGTTTCTGAACGGTCTATGAAGGACCCGGGTAGTAAGCGTTGGAGCACAAACTGACGGCGGGACGCGAGTTACCTCTTTTAAAAAGAGCGAGATGATCACGATGGTGAGTGCGGAGAAGGCAGCAGACACGGAGCACGGGAGGAAGTATGGATACTCTTTCCAGAAGCGATTGGTGAAAAGGTGCGGCCATCTGTCATGTGGTTTGGCCAATTGGCCTCCAATGAATGGTCTGATGTACGGAAGCAGTCAGGCAACAGTAATGTGATGATTTTATTTAAAAAAAAGGAAGTACCCGATAGTCGCTCCCGCAGACCAAACGACTGGCATCAAGGCAAAACCTTGCGCCATGTTTGTGGAATCAGTCAACTCTGTACAGCGGAGATCAGCTATGGGCTCAAGAACGATTGCCGCGAGTATTACCTGCAACCATGCTCTTAACGACGCCAATGTTTCCATTCAACGCCCCAACAATACAGCGACTTGATGTACAGGGTTAGTTGGACGACATCGATTCGAAACGAACGACAAAAAAGGTACGAACCTGATAATCAGTTGCAAGAATGTCTTGGAGAGACCGAAGAATATCATCGAGATACAAAGACCCGCCATTCCAATCAGTAAGACGGGCTTCCGTCCAACATAGTCCGATATACGAGACCATTGCATGACAAACATGGCCTCGGTCAAGAAGAAGACGGACTCCTATCTCACACAGCATGAGCACATACCACATGAATCAGATATGTACAACCTACAATCAGCCCGGCGTAATATCCTACTTTTCTCTCATCTCCACCGGTAATGTCTAATTCACTGACAAGCTGAGCGATGGGTCGAGGTTAACATGCCCACACATATTGAGAACAAAGCGCATATACCTGATTAATGAATGGATATATGCACTGTGAACTAATAGGTTCCGCTAGCTGTAGCAGCAAGAGGATTCCGATCTGCAGCTTAGGAAGTGGGGTTATAGGGCGAGCCTCCTTGCGAGTCGTCTTGGAGCCCGACAAGAGAGCAGTCTCCTCGTCGGGCGAATCGTCCCGTTGCTGGCGCGGCATTGTATTGTGAGTGGAAGTGAGAGCGAGAGGGGAGAGGTGGGACGGGGGTGCTCTGGAGAAATTGACATTCTCGGTGACTCTTTATCTCCAGAACCGGAGGAGGTTGACCGGCCGCTCTGGCGCGATCACGTGACCGCGTATACAAGGTAATCGATCGAAATTTGTCGGCCGCTCTGTGGAAATCTGTTCCCGCTTGTCGTCCGCAGTCTGAGTCGACGTCGGCTCCTCCGCTCTGGATACTGCACCATTCGACTTTCTTAGGCACCTCGCGATTTCATTGACACAACAACGTTTGCACGGGACGACGCCCTGGCCTATTCGCTGCTGCTGCTTTTGGAGCGCGCACAATGACGTAAGAGAGAGATAACAGCAAATATACCGCGGCGGCAAGTTTCGAAGATTGGCTGCGAACACTCAACACGTACTCATCATCTGAAACACCCGCACGCCTCCTAGATCGCTCGGTCTGAACAATCCCTCACACGTCAAGGCTGCGATGGGAAACGGATCCAACGTAGAGATATGAGGTCAAAAATGAGGGGGACCGGTGATTTTATCGCGGAACTGCTAGACCGAGGACGAGTGCAGTTCATGAAGGACTTTATTGACCTCGACTGTATTCTGAAACCCGAGATTGGTGCTGCAGCTGGTGCCGCCCAACATGTACAGAAAAATTGAGCGATTGTTCATCAACATCCCCCGCGTGTAATACGTACAAGAGGCGTCTCAAATACGTTTCGTCTAGCGCGTTACCTTGTTCCATCGGCTATACTTAGTCCTATGACCTTCCTTCGAAGGTCCATCAGCAGAGCAGACCAGCAGACCGAGCAGCATCCAATAGTAAAAGGGAACGCCTATAGAGCCGCCGTTAGACACATGTATCCTGACAAGAGATAATACAGCTGTCAAGTCAGGAGAACGACTCGTCGATAGCGCACAAATCAAAATGATATCAGTCGCCACCCCAGACTTAGTGTTCTGCAGCTGATAGAGCATTAAAACAAACAGTCCGTTGGGGCTACTTGTCTTTGAACTTTGGAAACTAAAGCCCGAAATGTCATGCGGAGAGCATCGAATGGAAGAAGATGAGGGGCCTTGATGAGGGAGTAGCACATCCGTCTACTGTCTACGGAAATCACAGAGAAGCATGTCAATGTTCCGTTATTCGCCGACGGCCCGAATATTGATGTATGGAAACGCTTTGGCAGCCAATAGACAAGTACTGAAAAGTCAACAATCTAGTGGCATAAGTAGAAGACATACATGAGATTTCATCATGGCGTCATAGGTCGTAAATAATCATAGTTGATCATTCTAATGAAGGCGAAGTTCCTGATCCATGACCAAGTCACGCAGAAAAGCCTCCAGCGCCACTTCCAGAGTAACGAGAGGGTTGCGTCATGGGTTCGACCAGGACGCGGAGCAAACGGTGGACATAGTAAACTCTAGCTAAAGATGAACAATTGTCAGCGAGACCGCAAGAATCGCCAAGAGTAGGCGTACCGTGTCCGAGAGTGCAGAGCAGAACGAACACTCACACGTTATCCTGCTTTCCCTAGGAACAAGCCTTTCAGGCCTTTCCCCAGGCTCTTGACCTTCTCTCTCACCACTCCCCCTTTCTTCGGGCAAACAAATCTATCAGATATGTCATCGTCTGCCGATCGACAGCGGGCAAGCGTAATCCGCAACTCTGTTTCCCCGCTCAAAGAGCAGCCAGTGGTCCATTCGGAGGCAGGGATAGGTGTGTGCCGACCGAACGAGCGCCCAAGAGTCGTAGAGCGAGGGATGTCTAGTGATTTGGACTCACGAGTTTGCACCGCAGCACTGAACGAGGTGTAGTCTAGAGTGGGTACGAAGTCAACAGGCACAGGAGGCGACATGTTCTTGCGAATGGCGGTATAGAGAGGTCTCTGGGGATGTCCGAGGGGAACATACGCTATTGTGGTTTTGGCAGGCTCAGTCGATGGCACAATAGCAGTTTGCATGATGACCGTAGTGTTGTGTTCGGAGCGTCTAGCAGACACATTCGAAAATGACTGACTCGAGCGTTTGCGCAGAGACCGAGAGGAGCGCTGGCGCATTATCACCATTCGTTGTTTGTGTCGTAACATCCTTTGCGATAACGCATTCGTTGTAAGCGGTAGCGGAGCTTCGATCGGCGAGATAGCAGGTTTTCTGACGATGTCAACAGATGCCAATGAAGGGGCTGGCGTTGAGTCTAGTAATAAGGGGCGCCGTGCATCGTTTGCCTGGTCACCTTTCCCGAGGATATTTGCAAGCTCGTGTATGAATGAATGAGCGTCAGGGTCCTTCAGGAGAAAAGTTCAAGGAGTAAATGGGTTGAATGAGAGTCTAGGACAAAGGCAGAAGCAAACCTTGGCCGCCGTAGCAACGATGTCGGTGGCCGAATACACGGCGGCATAGCGATGTCTTCGACGGACTATACTCCCCGACACCTGGGAGGCAACCAGACGGGATGAAACTCCCGCAGTCGTGTCTATAGACAGCGGGCGGGAAAGCCTCTTTCGTATCCTCTTCTCTATTCTCACCAATTGTTCTTTTTGCGCCTCGCTCAACAACGGAGGAGCGCTGACGCGTCTCCGTCGTGGGGAGGACGCTGGCTGGACTGGCTTCGCGTGAGCGTTCTTGCACCAAGGGCATGTAGCGCCAAGCGTGTTTGCGAAACCACATTGTCCACAGTCGAAGAGTGTTCCCTCTGGCTTTAGTCGGAGGCATGGCATAGATTCCCATTTCCTAAGCTGCTTAATGATCATCTCCCTACCAGGCTCTTGATATAATTACGACAGTACTCACCCCTTTCGTCCATTTGTACTCTCTCCGATACATACGAGGGCAGCTCGGAGAAACATCGTCAGAAACGGCCATATCGATATCGTTGAATCACTGTCGTGAGTCTCGTGAATCTCGTAAGTCGTCAGGTGAGGCCCGCTCTTGTGCAAACGCAAAGCAAGCAGCAAGTAGATATATGGAGCGCGACAACCCCTCGTGTGCATATTGTGGGCCAGGAACGACAGTCTGGTTCACAATGAGGCTGGTCACTGTGGCTCATGTCTGTAGCCAAAATCGGAGGGAAGATCTGTCATCCGGACAACTCGGGCCCCCCTTGGGCTCTTTCTCGGTGGAAAGATGTTTCTATCTCCACAGGACCGATTGTGCGTGTCAATTTTATGAAAACATCGAGCGGGCAGCGTGTCGAAGATCATGGTTACAATGAGGGAGTGTACCGTCTCCGGGCACGCGGCCGCGCCGTGCACCTATATTGCAAGCTTGTACAAGAGCGTAGTTTACATAACTACGTGCATCAAGTTTCATTAACTGCAATAAAAAGGGTACTATTACACTCAAGCTATAGGTTTAGGTCTGAACCGACAATGGGAGCCCTAAAACCACAACCTGAGCGAGAAGGATGCATTTATGTATGTAACTGTCAATAGATCAGATCAGCTCATACAGAAATATTCCAACGCCAAGTTTGAAGTGCGTGTCGGAAAGTCCGAATGCGACGCGCTCAGAAACTTGTTGACGTTCTAGTCTTGTACCAAAACCCTCCACATATGGGATTTGGGTTCAACTCAGTCGAAGTTCCACCGAGACATAGCGTATCGTTCGCACATGTAAGCATCACCGTGGACCGAGCTCGGTCTTAGACAGACGTGTCGCTATGACTGGTTCACTCAGAGCAGTATTAGCCTCGATAACAACGCATGTGGATCGTTCGTTTCGAGCGGCGCATTTAGCGAAACGAGCGAGACGTCCGCGGGGATGGCGACAAATGCTCATTAACAACACGACTACCTCGTGGACCAGTGGTCAAAAGCACACACGTGCTGACAGCCGACTCGATCAGGAAACAATCACCTCAGGAGTTGTAGCACTCACCTCATTATCACAGGAATGTGCGTCCGAAACTTGATCTCCCTCTGCTAAGCAGAACTTACTCAGTACAAGGGCTCAGAGCATGTATCACCGAAATTCCAACCTCACCCACGCAATATTCGAATGTAATAGCCCACATGCAGACGGACCATGCGAACTCATAGCAGAACGTACCTGCATACCACGAGTGGTGAGAATAAAAGGCGCGCGAGCAATATATATTTCGGTTCATGAATTCGCCGAAGATGCGTAAGACCAGTGCAATGTCGAGACAAACGATAACTGTAAAATGAATAAGATAAGCATAACGCCACTACAGATGCGAGAAATACGACTAACTCTCATAAATCATACATAGACAACAATACCGCCTCTGTCTTTATCCATCTTCCATTCCCCGTTAATGCAAACGCTAGCATGGACGCGCAAACATCCTGCTACCGGGCAAGACCACTCATGTATGGCTGTGACAACAGCCTTGCTCTTCGCATTAACTCGCCCTTTACCTTTGCCTCTCAAACTTGCCGAATTCTGACCTCGTCTTCTAGGCAAAGGACGAATAGGACGGGCAGGACTATTCGACAAGCCCGCAGCTTCCGCATTCGAGTTGGTGACACTGACGGAGGCCCTTGACGGTAAGTGAGATCGTAGACGAGAACGCATCGAATTGTCTTCGGAGGCTGGCTCCGTACGGATGGCACCAGGAAAACCGCCGGGTATGCTAGGGTCGGGCTCCGGGAGGTCGACCATCTTGCCCTTGCCCTTGATATCAGCAGCGAGCCCTGGCTTCCTTCTACCCCGGCTTCTAGTCGCCGTAGAACTAGCCTTTGCAGAACTAGAACTTGAACCGGGGTCAAGTTTGGCTTGCGCTTCATCCCTAGGTTCATGAGAGTCATCCTTTCGAGTGTCTGCAGGAGGTCGCATCAGCGTTGCGGTACACTTTCCGTCAAACATGTGCCCGCAACGGAGCGCCCATATCCTCTTGTCTTTCCGCTCTTCATCGCTGGCACCCTCAACTGGCCTGACGAGAGGATCCATGCAATGAGCACAGACAAGCGACATAGTCATAGCAACGTTTCCGGGAGCCATGGCTGCACTTGTACTTGGACCAGCGACTCCGTTGCCATCATTATCCTCAACTATAGTCACAGAAGATGTGCTTGAAGACACTTCCGAGGGAGCGAAATCAAATGTAAAGCCAGGCATCGCCTTCTCCGGATGCGTATAGAACGGCTTGTAATGGGGTTCGCTGGGTCCGGATCGCGCTGTGTCTGGCGCACCCGCATGTACTCCATAGGCGCCATGTATGTCTTCCGCGCCAAACAAACCATCAAAGAACGCGTCAAAGTGGTCTAGGTCGAGACTTGCAGCAATATTTCCCAAAGCTCGGCGCGGTCCAGCCAACATGTCTACAAAGCGTGCAGCGCCGGCCGCGAGACCTGGACCAAGCCTTGAGATTCGTAGTTCCTGCTCGCGTAGGCGGTTGGCTTCTTCAGCCACAGCGTTCTGTCTGTTGAGGGCTATCATAGCACCACCAAGGCCCATGGAAGGCTGATGGTGAGAGCGCGCGACACCAAGTGGCGGCAGCTGAACTGGGGGGCTTGGCCCACGCGGCGGCGGTCGACGGAATTGGGCTTCAAAAGGGAAAGGCTGGGCACGGGGGCGAATCACTGGGGGAAGAGGATCTTGCAAGATGAGGTGAGTAGGGAAGGAACCCTGACCTCTGAGATTATGGGGGATCGGAGGTACAGGCGGGATGTACCTTGGATGGACAGGCCGTGGAGGAGGAGACATAAAGCGAGGACGAAATTCTGTAGAAATAATGTCAACATGGGCTAAATGCGCATGAAAGGAACGTGGTATACCCCGAGTAGTACTTGCTGCGTTGTTAATACGCGACTCGTCGTCGCTGTCTAAGATGATGATAGGTGCGGAACCGGAGTGCGACGGGCCTGCAGAGGGTCCCGCCGTATCGCTAGTAGATTGATTTGGGATGGGTCCTCGCTGGGTGCGCCTGCGACCAATGTACGAGATCTCTGGTTCTTCAAAGGCATCAACATCGATAATTTCAGGAGATTGGTGACGACGACGAAGGATGGCAGGTCCTGCAACATCTACAGTAGCCATGCCCGACAGGCGTCTTGGTATCCGCAGGGAATTATAGAATGTGAGTTGTGAATATCGTCGATGGTGAATGGTCGTGGTGGTGAGTAGTGAAGAGGAGACAAATGTATTGTTCCAAACTCGACGATCCGTTGTGGCGGATGTCTTGACAAATGCTCCGTTCTCACGCTTTTCAAACGGTGCCAGTGAAGAGACGCCTGCCTCATTCAGTTCTTGAGCTTGAACGTCCAGCAACGCTCGCCAGCGTGCAATGGCATGGCTTGACACAGGTTGTAGTACTATGCTAGTAGGGAGCTCTAGTCGCCCAGGATTGCACTGCAAGTCACTGAGTCCGCGCCTGACTGCTCTTTGGCCCGGGCTTCACCGGATGCGGAATATCGCCATAAAACTGATTTTCCTAGCGAAATTGACAACCTGTATTATATATTGCGTGCACCTTCACTCTTGGTGTTCATCTTCGGTATCGTCTACAGCTTGATCTTCGACGTGTGTTTGCTGTTTGCTATCGAATCTCCTCGATCGCGGTGGCCTCGACCTAAAGGAATGCCCGAGGCAACACCGAGTTCTAGTAGCGTGACTTGGGGGCGTGGTTGAAACATCATGCTCACACTTCGATCGTATTATCTACTCGCCTTCAGGTCGTTCCCCTTCTCGACACGTTGTTCTTCTTGGGAACCGAACAGCGTATCTCATTGGCACCACTCCATTTCGATGGCGTTCAGTCTCGAGTCGACACAAAAGGTGTGTACCCATACAATTGAGCAAATCGCCATATTACTACGATCGCCAGCTTCGAGATGGTAATGAGATCCCTCTAATGGGCTTCGGTAGGTAGTATCTATTTCGCGTGTGGCGAGGAATTGATGCCACGGGTTTTAGGGACTTACGAGATGGAGGGGCATGAGGCTTACTCAGCCGTGAAACATGCGTTAGAGGTGAGGGGAGCTTCGCCTTCCAAGCTGCGACTCACCCTTGGTTACAGGCTGGGTACCGTCATATAGTAAGCCGCCGTCTCGTTGCGGTTTTTTGCTCAGGCTTGATCGATTTACGCCCCCATTATCTAAGGACTCGGCGGAATGGTATTATAATGAACGGCAATGCGGGCGTGCAGTTGTGGACTTCTGTACTGCTTCAGGCGTACCGCGTTCCTCTATCTTCTTTACCACAAAATTGCAGACCAATGCGGGCTATGCGGCGGCGAAAGCCTCGATCGCGCGATCGCTCGAGACATGTGGCCTAGGATATATCGACCTCTATCTCATGCACTCTCCGATTGGCGGGCCCACGAAGCGCGCAGACAGCTGGCGAGCTATACTAGAGGCGAGAGATGAGGGGAAAATACGTAGTGCTGGTGTTAGCAATTTTGGAGTCAAGCATCTGAAGGAAATTCTAGACTCTGGCGTTGAATTACCTGTGCTCAATCAGGTAAGTTCCTCAAAAGATCGAAGTAATCCACTTCGTCACGGAATGTGTTACTTGATAGGTCGATCTTCATCCGTTTATGACTCGCACAGACATTGTCGCCATTTGCAAGGAACACGATATCGCTCTCGAGGTCCGTATTTGCATAGTTTTGTTTGGTCTCGGAAATAGTAATCATGGAACTATTTGGAATTAGGCATGGGCACCCCTCGTTCGGGGTTATCGCTTTACGCACCCGTCCATCAGAAATCTTGCGCAGAAGTACCACAAGGAGCCTGCCCAAGTCCTCTTGCGCTATTCACTGCAGAAGGTAGCGGCCCGTATTATGGCGTTATCCATGTTCGAACTGACATTTTTGAATACTTAGGGCTATATCCCACTTCCTAAATCTTCTTCACCGCCCCGTATCAGGTCCAACCTCGATGTATATGACTTCGAGCTTACTTCAGTGGAAATCGCCCATCTGGATAATCTGAACGAAGGTGCAATTGTTATTTCTGGCTGGCTGTCCTCGCTTATACCTGTGTTCTAGATTTGGTGACTGACTGGGACCCCACAAATTGTCCCTGAGTCCTATACGTTTTTAAGCGGGGAAGTATCGAGTATGTCGAGAAGCGAAGTACGCCCAACGTATAACATGGACCAATTTTACACATTATGCTTTGGCTATCACAACGCAATCTTCGTTAGCACAGGTAGAGAAGCTATTCAGCACGGCCCATGAAGTGATATCTTGATGTGTTTGGGCCCAACGTAGACGGTTGACTGAAGTTAACTCTCACCAAGCGTTCCCATACTATTTTCACCCGTTAAGTGAGACACCTTCCTCTTCACTGAGCTGACGGCAAGTGTGTTATTTCCATTACACACTCAACCCACATCTCCCGAGGACGTTCCAACACCGGATAAGCATTATTTCACCCAATATGAAGTCAATCTCCCAGCGTTGTAGACGGCATAGAAGGCATGCGTTAGCATCAATCTCACAATTCCATTCCACATTGCGGAAATTCAGAGCTCGGCCATAGTTCTATCAAAACAGCTCATAGCGCTTGTTTGATCGGATACTCCTAAATCCTCGACCATTACATGTATGCCAAATCGCATGCAAGACATTAATGAATCTCCTTCGCGTGATCCCGGAGCCATTTCGCAGAAATATTGTACCCACTAGACTCTAACGCTCCTTGCAGAGTGGCTATGACCATACTGCCTCGTGAGCCTCACACAAACGATTGGCCAAGTCAGTTTCCAGAGAACCATTGCTGTGGTCTTGCTTCATCGTCGCTAACGCCTCCGAGGAGTGACATTCGTTGATTGTGAGAATCGCCTAGAATTACTAAAGCCAAGCGTATTGATGATTGATGGCTGTCCAGACAAGAGGTACAGGAGCTGAAGGCACAAAGCTCACGTAATGCAATATATCTTGATATAAAAATTGGCCTCGTCAATGACAAATCGCGATCGTGTCACCACCCTAAGAAGAATTGAAAACTGACACTAGAGATGTAGAGAGGATCCAGCAGATAGGCGGCGAATGCGGCTACGTACTCAGGGCCCCTCCGTGATTATCCAGATCCCGCAGAGGCTGGACCTCGCTCAGTGCAAGCGAATGTAGAAAACACAATATAACTGCATTGATTTGCTTGCCCGACTACCACATCTGGTGAAGACAACTATTGCTCGATGCGGACGCCTACTACAACCTACCTCGTCCTGCACAGGCGACCGACTTGCTCTATTCCTTAACATGCCTAGTTCTTGAGCCTAAGGACGCCGTGAACCTGAACTTGTATTGAAATTGGAGTATTGCGGTCCGGGACGTTGGATTGCTTTATCATGGCGCCCACGGCCAAGGAAAGAGTGTCGCGATAGCCGGACTCCATTTGTAACCTACCGAGCGCGGTAGGGGTATTTGGCCCGCACCAACTAGATTCGCGAAGGAATATATTTAAGCTCGATGAATGGAGCGATCGCTTGCTCGGAATGAAGGTAGGAGTCAACGCCAAGGCCTGTCAAACAAATGTGCTGGGATGAAATCTGCCTAGAACGGAGCTGTTGGAAGAGGGTGTCACAATTTGTGGCGCAGTCGTAGATAGGTTGCGACTGCCTCCGAACTGTGATCCGTCCTTGAGCTCGGATCCATGTGATCAGCTGGCGTCAGTGAAGACACTGCGTGCACACTTTCGCCTTAAGCTTATGGAGCGTGAACATGCGACTTCCAGGGACCTGGATTTTAGAGAGAAGGTTACTGGACTTGGTAAATGCAAGAATGATTGTTACCGGCTGGTAGACATTTTGATAGTTTTAATGTCGCCTGAATGATCAAACAGTGCTACGTACACGGTACAGCTTCTAGGAGTAGTCTCCACGATTATGATCTTTGCGCTGAGAGAAGTTTTTGAAATATTCTCGAAATTTGTTGAATGAATAGTTGCAACCTGAGTGGTTTGAGTAGCGATCCTAGTGGCAGTAGGAGCTTAGAAAGCGGTGTGACCTGCCGAAGCTTGGAGTGTAAGTTGAATCGGAGACGCCCGTTGGGAGCGGACGATAATTATCACCGTCTGCTGGATACTCTACATCATCAGCCGTAGTGACAAACCCTGGAGAGCGCGTTGAAAAGCATTCATGTCTGCAGTAAGTTTGTCGCCCTTTCTGCTTGTTTCGAGCCTATAGTTTCTATTGCAGATAAAAGATCCGCCGCCGAGCGTTCAACGTCACTGAACGGTATGCCAAGTCAAGGAGGATGAACTTTTCGGACTAGGAGGGTCACGCTGGCACGTACCTGCAAGCATCAGACGGCTAGAATTCCTTGTCTCACAGATGTCCATCGTTTGGAACTTATTGCATACGCCAATCAGCGACATGGACCTGCCGTGGTGATCGAATGCCAGACCAGCAGTGGCAAGGGTGCGCAAGAGTATGCGACGCATGTCAGCAGACTGGTAATGAATCTATCAAACTCATGCCGACGTGAACAGAGAATATCAGATGGTATGAGCGGTGACTGGTCGAGCCTGAGCTCACCACCAGAGGCATGTCGAAAGGCAGGTGGGTCTGATATTACAATCATTGAAGTATTATGATTACGCGTGTCACAGGGCTGGGTTCGGGACCATTGTTACCATGTATCGTCATGAGACAAGACCGTGGGGGTCAGGAACCTGTGCAGACTGTCGAAATACCCTTGTCGTCATGCACAGCGACTTCATTGCTGCCAAATCATTCGTCGGATGAAATGTGCGATGTCGTGACCGATCTCATTGTGGACTCACCTGAAGCCAATCATCAGGTGCTCATCTGGACTCCAAATAAAGCAGGCATGGAGTCGAATCTCTGATGTTCCTATGTGGGGGGTGCAACAAAAGAAGAGCGCGATACGCAAACCATGGGATGTCGGTGTGGTCGGACACAACCGTGTCCGTTGACAGATCATACTAGTGAGCTTCTTCGAGGATTAGACCAAGTTTAGATTGGAGATACGACAATGTTGCGCGCGCGGTGACTGAGCTCAATTTCGTCGGGGAAATTACGCGGACCAGTCGTTCATAATCATCACGATGCGGTCCGACGTTATGGTGCACCCACATCTGGACACAAGGGTGCGAGTACCGCACAAAGCCCTACGTAATCCTTCTGGGAACTTGGATGCGACAGTATCGGCTCAGTTCCGATGGCTTCAGCCGCTGCGACCCTTGCGCTGATTTTTAAATCTAGTAGCCACTCTTCCACGCATGACTGAGCGACTACTCGGACCGACCCCGACTGTACAAATAGTTCGCGCATCCCACAGACAGACAGACCACTACCTTATTGGTCTATCTACGGAGACGAGGCGAACCTGTATATTTGACGTCCGCGAAGAGTACTCATATGCCCCACAGTCTATATGTCACGAAATTTTGCAGCGCCGTGCGAGAAAACAAGACGAAAGATGAACCCGATATACCTTGACAACCAGATGACGAGGAATAGTCGCCCGTTGAGATATGTTCCCGAGGCAGACGCTAGGTTGTCGCCCTTGCTTTTGTCGCCCCTTGGCTTTTCTTCGCCCCTCGGCTTTTTTTCTCGTCTATGATCACTCTCCCTAGGGCTCGAAGCACATGGTGGGTCAAATTGAAGCCGACGCGGGGGTTAAACTCCGTCCACGTCTTCAGGGTCACTGACAGTAAGCGAGTACTATGCGGTGCAAATTTTGTTCAATTTACGCTGATGAATCTTCCTTCCCCCATCTTCTAGCTACTATATTATTCCAGCTCATGGAACAGACCCTCCATTTCTATATGAGCTCGAGCGGCTGCTTAGCGTACGCAGACGTTTTCGAATCAGTCTTGGTTGTGGGATAGACCCTGGGGCCTTTTATCTCGTCGCCAGGACCTTCAACTCCTCCCTCGCTCTACCCTACAAGCAATCAACATGTCGTATTAGCAGATTTCACCGCATCAAGGCTTTACTCTATATATGGCGTGCTCCCATCCTGCATCCGACATCTGACACACGAGGGCTATCCACCAGGCGACAAGACTAAGGCAACCATGCTGTAGGTTCTTTGGTTCAGGTACGTACAACTTGTCCTGCCCTCTGAAGCCCACGCTAATGTTGAAATGAACCGTGTAACAGTGCGTATTGCTTCATTTTTTTGGTTCCCTTGCCCATGGACGAGGCCCAAACCGATAGACGTGTCGGCCAGTTCGACTGTGTTTACCAGACTGGACGGAGAGCGCTATGCGATCGCTGTTCGTCGAACTTGAAGCGAAAGTAGAGCAAATCCTGAACAGGTTTAATTAGATTGTCGATCCAGTCGGTGCTGAGTTTCGGTAACATGACAACGAAGCGCCAAATGGACGAAGCAGTTGATCAGCCCCCATTGCAGCGCTTGAGCTTGCTGGACGGGCTTTCCAACTGGCCCCTGAGGGTAGGCCGCGCTCTCCGCCTCATGTTGTTCACGTTGTAGTCTTCATTCTTACTACAATTTGCAGAAAATACCAAGCTTGTACGAGCTCCAGCATCCCCTAACTGGATTATTCAGCCGATACCTAGAGCATGGAGTGCCAATGAGGACCGTCGTAGTCCACAGGCACCGCTAGCCTGCCTCTCACTGATGGTAGGCCGCTACGCCCGATCTGTCCGTCCGCAGATTGTGTATTTCCTGTTGTTGATGTTTCAACTCGGGAGTATCGGGATAGTGGGTTGCTCGACGTACGGCAGATATCATGCGAGACGACTGCCAGTGTTTTCCAAATTTGGGAACTTTTAGTGCCACCCGCAGTATTGTTCTCCACACGTATACTTGGAGACGGCGTCCACTCATACGCTATTGATCCTGGACTTCTCTTCCAGCGTCTGGATGAATGTCAGATCATGTCCCATCGATGTCGCTGCGGGAAGCGTCGAGACCGGGCCCAAAGTTGATGAAACTACGTGTCGCCGACGGACACACCTCATGGTATAGTCTCCTCGTCATCTTCAGTGCCGTTTTTATGCTTAGGATTCAGACCAGAATGATGGCCATGCGCCCCTGGTATTTTGATAGACAGTCAGATGGTCATAGCTGTCAACTGATGCCGACTACTGCTGGTTTCGAGTGGTGCTTTTCTCATTATATCAATTCTATTATGTACAGTGCGATTTGGCACGGTCGCCGCTTGAACATTTTATGGTGCATGATACAGAATTTTTGTTGAATCTCTGCGCAGAGATTTGAGTGCCTTTAGAGGCTGATAGCTCCATCACCCTAAGGCATACATCACGCAATGAAGGGGTATCAATTTCACCTCGATTCCTAGAAATGAGCCCATACCAAACCGCTAATTGATTATGATAGCACACTAGCAGCCAACTTCTCATCTGGGGATGGCGGCAACAATGATTCGCCGCACAATCACCAATGTACACTTTTTGCCGGGTAACGAGGCTCGTGCTGAAGTAAATATGACCACTTAAAATATACAGCAAAGGGTAATTAAACGGTGTACAATCACCAGAAAAGTAGCGACGGAACCAGCGGGTCAGCGCATTCGCTTATCAAGTATGAAGAGGCGTCACCTTTCCATGGACACGGGTTTAGGTGTCATTGCATTTCAGAAGCCTAGCCGGGCTAATTAAGCGGTGCAGATTCGTCGAAACGGTACATGGTCGTCCCGCTCGGCCCATCTGTACGGAGATCGGTCATCCACATGACAGAGACCATGAGTGCGTGCGAACGTCCCGCTGTTCAGCACTGCGCGCCCAATCTAGGCCACTACAAATGTCAAGAAAGTTGCTTCTTCATAACTTGCATTGTGGTAGCATCAGCATGCGTGTGTACCCGTGTCAGCTGTGATATGGCTCTTGTCCATCCAGAAGGAGTTGAACCCAAGGTAAGATGCGGAATGTTGTTCGTCCCATACCCTTTGCGATGACTGAGTTGAACTAAGGTAGTATATTGCGATCTGAACCGTCTTGATGAACACTAAATTCTTGTGCAATCGCTGAAAAGATAAGTAATCGCACTTCTCATGCCAAGATGTCTTCGCAGCCAAAATAATATCATTCAACGTCATACCGCTATCTTTATGATCGTTTCCCGCATCGGTCATTTACGTAGGCCTTTGCTCTCCGTTGTTCTTGTCCGCCTACACCCTCGAGATCTTCCGGCATCTCCCCATCCAGGTTTTCCTAGAGGCGATTGTTCGCATTTAGACGGAACGAAGCAGTCTGGCTACTTGTTTATAGCACTTACACGACTTCTATCTGCACCGGCTTCTATCAAGAGGCACGCTGCCTCTGCATATGCAGATTCCATGGCGAGATGAAGAGGCGTATTCCCTAAAAGATGTTGGATGAACATGTGGGATTGTGCCAATACATCAAGAGACACACCGACGCGATCAGCAGTATTCAAACGTGTCTTAGCGGCCCCTTCAGGTGGATTCAGTAATAAGATAATAAATCCTGTTGATCCTGTTGTGGCTGCCCGATGGCTTTGAGTATTGATTAGCTGGATGGCTTGTATGAAACAGAAAGGGTCGCACAGTGGTGTCTGGTTTGCTCTATCTCTAGCGTTGATCTACTGAGAAATTAATGTACTGAGAGGAACATGACAAGGTACTAGACATACGTCTGCTCCCCGCGCAACTAGCAATCGCCCTATCTGCACATCAACGTCAGGGTCCAACTCGAACGTATCAAGCTGATGTCCTTACGTCTACTCGAGATTTTGACGCAGCGTAATGGCTAGGGCATGCTTTGTGATGAGCCAAAATTTACACTGAAGCAGCCTTTCGGAAAGCGCACAGGGGAGTGATCCCTTTGTCGTTCCTGGCATTCACGTCGGCACCAGCGCCGACCAGTTCTCGTACAACGTCCTCACTTCCGGCGCTCGCTTTTGCATAGCAATCAGGACATATTATGATAGTCAGTGCCTTCATGACAAGCGATTCAAGCGCCCTACCGGCAATATGCAAAGGAGTCCAGCCATTGGTGTCTCCAAGGTTGACTTCGGCCTTGCGATCAAGAAGGTCTCTAACGACATCAATGGCACCGGACGAGGCGGCCCAGTGAAGGGGAGCCCGGCCATCCTGAGGGTAATGGTTGGGAATGCTAATGGGAGGAAGATGATGTCAAATACCGCGTCTAGAGCATTTACAAGGCCTGGGTCCTGAGAGATGAGAGTGCGAACCAGACCTGTCTGATCTACACGGCTGGTGTGGGCCAAAGGGTAAATGTAGAAACAAAGTTGACATACGATTCTGTGCAGCGCTGTGGATGGATATCGAGCTCATGATGGTCAGCGGCAGGAAATATGCTCGAGGATGCGGGACGCGTGTGCGACTCGCGTCTGGGTCACGCCGTGGGAAAGCGAGATCGCTAGGCTCGATATGGGGAGAAAGTACGGCAGGTTCGAGCACGCAAAGCTGGGGCCATTATAGCCGTCCTGCCACTTAAGCTCACAAAATCAATCAGGCCGTCGGAAGGAGACGGCAGTCTCTTACGCGGGCACGAGGGGAACTTCTCTGACTAAGTCATTTTTATTTCTCCGGCCCGTGCCAGCAGCTATGCCTTCGGTCGACATCGCTAACCCCGCCTGCGATCCCGCCACCCATGAAGATGACCCCCATCTTCTTCTCACTTTCTTGCAGTCTCAGTCACAGAATGCGCTCACCAGACTGTACCAGAGGCCTTCTTCCTGTCTCTCTGTTTTCCGGTCAATCTCGCCGCTAGTTCTCAGGTTCCGTATTTAACTTCGAATCACAGCTTGTTACAGCCGCTCCAGCGACAGCTAGTCATGAACCTGCTCTGGCTTGAGACTGCGGTCCCCGTTTCAACAATGTTTGCATGGGTCACGCGCGAAGGCAGATCGTACAGCTATTTTTTCCCCCCCTGGAACATACATCAACTTACGCCTTTATGTTAGCGTCTACAGCGATTCATTATCGACCCTGGCTCGGTTACACATCCTTCCCAGCTCTCCGGTGAAGCTCGCACTAAATCCTACCTTCAAGGCAAGTCTACGCCAAGCTGTAACTGGAGGGTGTGTATTATGTCAATTTTCACCCCGTCTGCTAAGATCTCATCCCTGCAGAGGGTCGAGTCGAAGTTTCGGGGTACCGGTAGATCCCGATCGGCAATACCCAGCTCCCAATATCAATACTTTGGATGCTTATGCTCTTGAGCGTTGGGAGGTATGCAGTTGACCCTGAGCTTCGCAGGCCGCCCATTAAGCTCACCATATAGACGATCCTGCACTACATGGTGTCCTCCGGAACAGGACACTATCCTACGAGGCCATCGCAAGAGGTTCTATTCCTGTTACAGCGTAGTGGCCTTATGACGAATGCACAGTTTGTCGACTTCGTGGTTCTTTCGGCTGCTGGAGGCTGATGGAGAATCCAGCGGCGGAGCTCTCCAGATAACATCATCGGGCTTTCAGTTTCTCCTACATTCTCCACATGCTCAGCTCTGGGAGCTCCTAGTGCAGTATTTATACATGGTAGAGGTACGTCGATACTTGTCTTGCCGTGATACATAGATGATCCACCAAGCTGGCGATCAGGAGCGACAAATGGATCTAGTCGACGTGTTGAGCTTTCTGTTGATGTTATCCACAATGGAGCTTGGTCGAGTATGTTTTCCGCGCCACCTGTCTATCAGGCTATACGTCAATTTTGCTTCAGGAATATTCGACTGAGAACCTGACGGCGACCCAAACTGCGATGCTCACGGACCTGAGAAATTACGGGCTGGTATGGCAGCAAAGTGTACGTCAAGAAATATAGTCGTTGAATTAATAAGACTCCCAACTGATGTCATACCCACAAGCCATCGTCACGACGCTTTAGTCCTTCACGTCTCGCCACGACATTGACCTCGTCTTCATCTCCCCTGCCCACATCCCAGAATTCCGGAACAGGGCCGCATGGCGAGGGATTTATCGTACTTGAAACGAACTATCGCATTTACGCTTATACCGGTGAGGAGCATTATCAATCGTCGTAGTATTAACAAACGGACTATCATTGCGTAGACAATCCACTTCAGATCGCGGTTCTCAATCTCTTCGTAACCTTGAAATCTCGATTTCCCAACCTTGTAATCGGGGCAATTACTCGCGAGAGTGTCAAGAAGGCACTTGCCAACGGGATAACTGCGGACCAGGTAAATTCTCCGCATATCTCCTGGGATGCTTCCTTTAAACGCCACACAATTAGATTATAAGTTATCTCACGGCACATGCACACCCCCAGATGCACAAGAACGTGAGTGTCCGAATAATATTACTTCGAACGGTGTGGATCAGGCCTATCCTATAGAAACCTCTTTTACCAGTAACAGTTCAAGATCAGATCCGACTTTGGGAGTTGGAGAGAAACCGGGTTAAATCTGAAGAAGGTTCGCACATGTCACCTCAATGTAGGCAGGGGATGATATCGAGGGGTCTTGATCTTCTCCATTGACAGGATATTTATACACATCGTTTGCCTCTCAAGCAGATTACGAGTATGTTCTCAATTATGCCAAGCAGTTGGATGTTGTTCTTTGGGAGAATCCATCCCGGCGGTCTTTCTTCGGCAGTTTGGATGGGCATGCTAACATACGGGGATTCATTGAGAGAAGGACCGCTGGTAATGCTTAGGCAGCTGTGGCCACCAACTACATCGCCTCATTTAAAATCGGTGCCAGTGTTCTACCAGTTTACTATAATATCATCGGATACGTATCAGACCGACAAGCGCTCTGATGTAGTGCGTCATCCTATGCAGCAGGAACTGAATCCGTGGAGCTCTTCCCTGCTACCCCAAGCCATACACAGGATATCGAGGTACGAGTACGGACATATATGGTTACCGGAAAGTGAGTAACAAACTAGGAGCAATGCGATTCGCTGAACAGTGACATTGCGCTATCGACCTGTCCTTCACTGCCAGCTGCTAACGCCATGAGGTATAGATCTCTGTTAGTTCGGTGAGCGGTACACGCCATGTGGTGCATAGACAGTTTGGGAAACTGGAGTTGGCCCATACAACGAAGCAGTGGACTCCTGACCCCACGTCCACAACGGTGGCACAGAGCGGGTCCGGATGTGATCGCGTCCACGCCCTGCAGGAAACTGGGCGTTGATAGAAGTGGACGCCGCTGGGGCTGACGCGTATTGTTGCTCTAAGATCGGGGATGCGCCATCACCGTGTGCCCATGTCGCCATCTCAGACTGTGCCGCAATGTCAATGCGGGAGAGACCCTGGTCTGGACCGCGTCTCAGCCGTGAGGCATGGTGCGTCCACGCCTCGTCTCTTCCGACGTGAATGGATTGTGGTGGACTTATTGATATGGGTGTGGGATACGTTGCTGATGTCTCTGCGCTGATCGAATACGACACTTGAGCATAGGAGGGGGACCAAATGGGGTCCCGGGAGCGAGTCGAGTCGAGTGAATGAGCGCCGTGGTCGCCGCTAGCATACTGTGCCTGGGGTGTCTGCGCAGCAACGGCTGGGTGGTTATGATGTGATGGATAATGAAGGTCCATCTGGGAAGACCGGCCATCCTGGGCTGAGTACGTGGCCGGTGACATTTCTATGGGAGAAAGGCCCGAGAAATTATCTTCCAATCGTAATGCAGTCCGGCTGCCTGTCTTGATGGGATGGGGAACGGGACCGACAGCTCCCTTACGCTGATTATCTATCCCATCTGTGTCGTCGCTAGAACTACCCATCAATTCTATCAGGTGAGACAACGAAACGATTGGTCTACTCACAAGTGTGATGGGTAACCGCCATATTGGCCCTCAAGCTTCAGGGGATACCGAAAGTTAGCGGACTGAAGAAGCTCCTGTGGTATTCCCAGCGCCATGAGATCTGGACGACTAGTAGGTCTGCGAAGCTTGCCGGAGCGCACATCTTCCTGGGTAAAATACGAGATAAGATGATGATCCGAGCCATTAATTTTCACCGTGATCGTCTAGTGACTCCTCTGGTTAGTGTGTACTCTTACATCGAAACTTCATGACCGCATACCTTCTTGATCAATCCATTAGGCTTCAGCGTAACATGTCCATCTGCTATCGGGCCAGCGGGTGAGATTTCCGACGGGTCTGACCCTTGATGAGAGCCCCGGAGGCTGCTCCTGTCAGTAACTTCCCTATAGATCTGGAATGACATAATAAGTAAAGTTCCCTGCTATGAATGTCAATATAGCCTCTACATGCATACCAAGAAATTGCCAGAAATTCGAGACTGCGACCACGCTAGTCCTTCTGTCCAGCGTTTGATACCACTTTCCTCGACGCTGAACACGAAAATGGCGCCACTCGTGATCATAGATCTCCGCTCAAGCTCGTTCAAGCGGCGAGTGACTCGAGGTAGGACGCCGCGTCGGGCAGCCTTTACGCACAGGCATGCAATGCGCGAACGAGGAGCATGAAGAAAGCGAAGTGCAGACTTCAGTCGAGCAAGAAATCGAATGACTCGAGAAAGTTACACACTTCAATAAGACGTAGCGCGTCCTCGGTCGTTTCTACATAGCCAGTGAAAGGTTGGACATTTGCCTGGGATAATGGCATGGTGCGAGCTGCTTTGAAAGGACGCGACGTGATGGGTAGGTTACAAGAATGAAGAAGGGCGCGAAGAAGGAACGAAAGAGCAGCCCGGGCTTTATGGTCCAGATGGTGGGCTGGTCACCCTTCCAGGAACTCACTGTTCTTGCGGGGATTTATTGGGACGGCAACATGCAACGAGCGCATTCTTTCGTTACTGCATCCGTAACGAGAAGGACTACGACGCCGGCACGTACCATTTTCAGGGTCGAACCTAATGGTGACCATGTCAGAACTGTGACTGCGTGAAAGGATGAACTCATGGACATACACAAGTGGGCCCGAGGCGTGTACATCACCCTAACGGCATGTGGGTTCGTGCCGACTCCGCAATGTCAATTCCCGAAGCAGCGCGATATCATGTCTGTTTGTGCCAAACAATGAACTATCGACCTGATCAGTGCCGCACGACGGCACATATCCTGTCCGGGCACAACCGCCCAAGATGATGATTATCGTAAACAAAACAGGTTCACAGGCATCACATGCACCTGCAATAACGAATTTCCAATCCAGATTTGGATTCCAATGGTTACTTCCCATGGATGAGTGGAGGCCATCAAAGAGTACATTCACGCTAACTTTGCTGATGTGACTATTAACTGTACCTTAATATCTCCCTTCCAACATGAATGCTTCCCTGCTCTTGATTTTACCGTCACAATCCTGGCGTACGCAATGTCCCCGCAACGACAAACGGAAGTCGAAGAAGCGATCACGTTCTGCCCAAATTCTATCCCGAAGAGAAGGGCTCTTCGGTCGGGCAGTGATTTTCCCTATTCCCTAAACCGCTAAGGGCGAATGTGAACACGAGGCCATCCTGGGCTGAGCATCCGCTGACGGCAGATAGAGCGGATCCGGAGAAACATACGCGAGTTCGAATCGTTCACCTCATTCCCTTTCGTGAGCGAAGCTCGGTTTGATGGAAGCCTCAAGAACGGCAAGGGAAAGGGGAACTGCTTTCCTTACATCTGGTCGTGCGGACGGTCTATCTCGCCGCATCGATCCCTATCTCCCTTTTCATTCCATCGCTCTCACGCATCTTCAACGATCACACGCCGCAGTCGCCCCCCTGCGCTCCTTACAGCTTGCGTCGCACGAGCATTCAGATTATATGAAATTTGCCCTTGGACTTCCCCCACTAAGCTGGCGGTCCTTATCAACAAGCGGTGATTCACGATTGTCACTCCGAAAGAATTGTAACTCAGCGAAAGACATACAACGATCAACTGTTCCCCATCCAATGTCATCCATGATGGCAACAGCTGAACAAATCTCACGTCCTGTCTTAGTAGACAATGCTGAACCATACTCTCAGCCGCATAACTCTTATTCAAAGAAAATCCCTTACAGAAACAATAGCTCGAAGCGTTCTCAATAGTAAGGGGACAACTTGAACTTCGTATCCGAATGATCTTGACGTCTGGGACATCTCAATACAATGCTCATCAGCAATATGTACAGAATATCATTTGAAAACTAACCGAGGACATGAATACGTTGCATACTCACCTGGTATTACACAACCCTTCTCCCGCGTGGAGTAGTGGTCCTTTAGCTCAGCGTGCTCCATTCGCAGCAAAATTGAAGATCCGAGATAGATGGGGCACCACCGTTCACGCTGGAAAGCTTACCTGCGACGCATTTCACTCAAGATATCGATTCCATTCGAGTATGAGCGTGGCCAGTCCACCCGGTTTCAAGTTGGATTTGTTAGCCCAGCGTCGTGGAGGCAGTCGCGCCGCAACTTAGGGCGCAGTACGAGAAAAATCACGATATGTTGTTGTCAGCTGTCATGGGTTATCTCGGCGGCGAATGGTTCCTGACACGATGGACAGCACGAGTCCACGAGGTCGCTGGTACGACGAGGTTCTGTCAGCTAATCCAACTCAAAAATCCAGCTCTCGTTAATTAACTGCGATGGCCCGGGCCTATATCAATGTCTGTTCATGGTCATACACCGTTCGGCGTCGTCCTTAAGCTTCTAGAAGATAGGCCCCATCTCGGAGTCTACAGTAGTAAGATCACGAAGATCGCACGTCACATACGGTGCCAGAGCTTGAGGGTGGAGAGAGAATGGTGTCTTACAGATCAGAGTTTAGTCAGAACCGCGCAATCGTAGCAAGGGGTTCTATGACCAAAACCCGACTGGGGGGATTAGCACTTACTGTACAGGGTGACACGACTGGAAGGCAAGCATTGGACCCCATCCCACCAGGAACAGGTGTCGGAAGACCTTCATGACCGTCCTGACGTCATTGCATATCCGACCTTCAAAGTCCTTTGCCTCCTTGAAGGCGCATGCGTCAGCAATTACGACAGTATGTATGAGTCAGAACTGAATACCCCTTGTTGGTGAGATACAGAACCTCGGATGAGCATTCATACCGAACAGAAGAGGCAACCAGACCGGGGAAAGAACACTAGAACATAGCGGCGCCGGAAAACGTGGCAGATGTCCAGCAAGTCGTCCAGCCTGGTTGCTATTTTAGACGGACGGGCAAATCCGACGAACTTGTTTGCAAATTCATCAGGGTCGCGAAAGTTCCGAGATACCAGCGGCTGAAACGCACCACCGGGATCCCGCCGCTGCGAAATTGTGGATTTAAAAGGGCCATGGGTCGTCCCGGTTGACAATCCCAAATTTACCAGTATTCATCTGTCAGATGAACATTGAAATCAGTCGTCCCAGAGATCCCCGCCTGAGATCGATAAGCAATAAGAATCGCCGAAGGTTTGAAGGATGCAACAAATTCACCGCAGAAGAAATGTTTCTTCCTGGTCAAGCACGTGCATTTTCGTTATCACTTGGGAAAAGGCGAACTGAAAGACGCTTCATTTGTCCAGAAAGACACAGAAACATGCGTATAACTTCTTGCCATTTTATGACTATACAGCGCAATCCACATACATTGCAGCGCAACCGAATTTGAGGAGACCGATCTCTGGGCATCGCGGGAGAAGGTCATTGCCATCGGGATCGCCGCGGCATCTAGTCCCCTCACTGCAGTAACCGACACCGATGTTGTGTGTATACCATAATCCGCGCCCTCAATTCGGATGTTAACATTGTGTTCGAGAACTAGGGCCAAAGTACTCACATCAACAGCGGCATGTTAGTCATGCAAGCATAATACCTGTCGAATACAAATGTTCGACCATGTACGACTGAAGACGACGCAAAAACAAAACAACAATCGGACGTCAGAAACGTGACATAAGATCACATGTCAGCCTCACTAAACCCGCCCGCGAATCCCACATCGTGGACAACGACACTGTCGTAAAATGTAAAGCTGCTGAGTGTTACTTGCGGGATGTACCGCCGTCCCTGACATAGGCGGATGGGATATTTGAATGGCTAAAAATATCTTGAGAGAACAGCCGCCGAGAGCAGCTGTGTTGCCAAATAAAATCAAGAACAAAAAAAACAAGAAATAGTCAGCTGCTGGTAAGCTGACGAATGGCGAACCCACTGACCAAAGAATCTCGTGGAGCCGTTATGCCCACGGTCAATGCGTCCGGGTGAATCTCAATTATTGCAAGAGGAGAAGAGGGTACGTCCTCACGTGCGCCTACTTGAGGCCTAGATGGTATATCAATCAGTACGTGCGGCAGTGACTAGTGATCGGTCATCAGTATGTCACGAATTCACCTCTAGAAACAGACGATAGCAACCGCAGTAGCATCAAAAGAGTTCCACATCAGTTTGGTCTTATTGCGGCTTCCAGCTCCACGAGAAAATAAGGGATACGGAATCATCGAGGCAACAGCAATGGTCGAGGTTGTGTGATCATAGACCAATAGCCCAGATAAAGCGGCGGCTAATGTCCCGTATAGCATCCGCGGGAAGTAGCCAGAGAGGTCTAGAGAGATCCTAGAGTAAGTCGATTTATCATGATGCAGCCTTGCGAATACGTGCGAGTGATGTGCTCGTAATCTCAGGACAACGGAAGTGACACATCAGTCATCCGGGATGTGTCGAAGCTCGTGCTCCACCCGTCTGGAATCTCTGATCGGTGACTCGTACGCCAACCGACGCGAGATAGGTCGTATTGAACAACATAATATGCTGGCAAGAAATTCGGGAAGAGAGGCCAGAACTGGTAGAATAGATAGTGCCGAAGTGTCATGAGACGTCTCATCAGCATTAAAAGCGCGGATTTCCCAAGTATTCTGTGATCTTCTGGCTTGCAACGAGTTAGTAGTTTGATCCATCTCCCATGAACGTCATACTGCTCACAGAGGACGGAGCGAAGGAGATCCGTAGCGCGAAGGTCCTTGAGGCAAGTTAGGACACGACTCCAGAAGCAACAAATTCGACATAGCTTGTGGGTAAGATTCAGCGACAAGAATATAGAAATCAAAATATTCGATCGCCAAGAGTGTCAACAGGGTAGGTATTGTTACAATGAGGGAACATATGGTGAGTAATTCTTATGAATATTGATAAGTGTCAGCCATGTAGTTTGTAGAGCTCACAAGCGGCTGACGAATTACCCACTTGTATCTATCACTGGCGAAAACGCCAGGGTTCTCCGTCTCATAACTGATGATAAGCCGGAATATTGAATCTTCCTATTCTCGTTAGGAATGGCAAGACCCCGGACTTAGCAACCGTGGGGCATTTTTCTGCTCTGAATTTGAAAGACTCTGGATCCCCTTTAATCCGACGATCGCACGACAAAAAATGATAGACGTACGCACGGATTGGAATGACACAAGCAATCGCAAAGCCGCGATACGTTTGCTCTGACAATTGGTAGTTGTAAGATGTGTCCCATTTGACAATCATCATGAGATCCATAAACTCCGTCAGATACGATTGAACCAGCGATCGCCCTATTTAAATAGATTATTCATCACCGCAGACAAGCGCCAGCACTGTTATGCACTAATGATGGAAGCTGAGATCATATTACTAAATTGACCAATCTGCAACATTCTGGAGTGACGGGACAGTCGACTACTGCATTTCGACAAAATGGCGCTGCAGAGAAAATGGTTCAGTGCAAACTGGCCATACAGATCAGAACACAGGTGACTTACCACTACCCATGGAATCACATTGTGAATGTACCTAGACGAAAACATCTGAGGCGATGCGGACGCACAGCTTGCTGCTCACGTTTTCGTCGGGCGAGCAGGACCAGTGGTGACAGAATTGGGGGGGGCAAGGAGGAAAGGGAGATATATTCAGAATGGATTATAGCTCACAGCCAATGTCGCGTCGTCCCCCATAGCTAGCTCTTACTTAAGTAGCAAGCCTTTGGATGCGAGGTTGTCTCCCGTATGCAGACTTCTGAATAGGGACCGCCGACGGTCTTCAAAATCAAGATGCGCCAGTGAGGGATCGTTGTAAGCGTCGCGTAGACGGTACTATAGACTAAAGCAAATCGAGCAACAATCATAATCACGTGTACACAAATCCGATCTGGCTCCGATCAGTCTGTTGCCTACGACGCGAGTTTAGCGCTTAACGCTTGCTGCGAACTTGCGTCAAGTTGACTCGGAGTTGACTCAATTGCCAGAGGCTGGGAGAAAGTGAAATCCATTATACTCATTTTTCAATAGGTGGGTAGTCATCGATAAATATGCACGATACAGAAAAGGCAATCCTGACGGCCGTCTGGAGTGAAGCCGTTGTACAGAGTGACGATGCCACCTCCCTCTTCCCCAGCCCTTCCGCTCAATGTAAATTCCTCTGGAACTCCTTCGAGACCGAGCACTTCAAGTCCGGGCTCGTCTTCTGCTGCAACTCTAACCACTACAAAGAACTCCGCGACCACTTCCGATATTTCCAGTCCTCATGAGCTGACGGCCTATGTGGGTGAACCATTCTCCTATTCTACATACTATGCGTTCAGAACTCTTGATGCCGTCTTCGATCTCAGGTCGAGTCCCTCCTGGAACAACTCGACACAAAATTTGACGATATGTCTACCCAAATTCTTGATCGCAGTATGCTGCCTTCAACACCGATCATATGATATGGTTCTCATCCGAGCCTCAGTGATGCAGATGTCTACGCGTGTTGATGCGTTGGAAGCCGCAATACAAGACATCATCAACGGTGATACAACAGTTGGACCTCCCAGCTTGCCCCAATCCCCTGCTACTTCCCAGCGGAGGCCTGGAGATTTCTGATCGTGTTAAACAGTGGAGTGACTTCTTGTTTCCTCTAAGAATACCTGCATGCTAATTTCAGTTGTGATTGTTCTACGTAGGGCATCGACAAAAGCTATACAAGGACCACGGGCGCAATTGAGACAATGCGTACTATCATCTCACACTGCACAGGGCACTTCCAATGACTTAGTAATCGCTCGCAAGGAACTATACATCCAGCGAGATATATGAAGTGCCCGAGATTACTTCTAATTCTACCGGGAAATACAAATTCGTCTAGTTGAGCGAGGTCATATATTCTCGCTCTTTTCAAGACTGTACGGGAGCCATAATTGATACGGTAATATAGTGCCTTACATAGTATAGTGACCCTCTTGACAGTGTGATGGTAGAGACTTCGAATCCAAACTCAGGAGCAGCATAGCTTCTAGTGGGAGAAGGACATCAGTTGCCCATCTGAGGTAGAGCTATGCGCAAAAATAGCTTTCACAATTTCAACAAACATGGATCACATCGACCTTGAAGAAGAAATGCAAATCAAATGAGCCTTAAAGACGGAAAATGTCATGCCTTAAGGAGAAAGACGTATATTATACAGTCTGGACCTTCTACGTATCAGTAACCTAGTCCAGACCAGGCAGCTTAGCTGCTGGTGGGGGAGATAAAACCCTCCTGGCTGGTGCCGCACCAGAAGGGGCGCCGCCAAACATTGCCGATAACATATCGCCCAAAGGATTGGCAGCCTGGGTTTTTGGAGGAGGTATCGCGAAGTATATTTCCGCAATCTCAATCAGTGCCTAGGTTCAATATGTGTCAGTAATAGACAATAGTACAGAGGTGGGGAGACAGGGAGACAGGCCAGCGTGCAAAGAGCCTGAAAGAAGCGTGTAATAGAGAATCGTCCGTTACGACACTCGCGTTCCGAAACTTGCATACGCAAGTTCCATCTTTCGACCTATTATAACGCTTTCAGACACAAAGGGGGTGACCCACCTTGCGTAATTCTTTGCTGGCCAACAGTCCACCCTTACTCTGATACGTCCCACATAGCCTCACCCATGCTTCTCGCATCGCTTTATTATGCGCCCCCTGAGCACGCTGGCATGTCCGCACAGCAAGCTGCGTAAAATTGACAACGGGGTCTGTCGTGAACAATATCTCATCGGCTGGGCCTCCTTGCGCATCTCTCACGACTATGGGTGTTGATTGATGAGTGGACACTAATGCGGGCCTGGTCGAAGTCAGCTGTGAGACATATTGAGTCACAAAGGTCCGTGCAGCAAGGATATTTCCATTCTGAAGATAGCTGTTGGAGAGTCGTGGAAGCTGTAATTTGACAACGACCCACACCAGAAACGCTGTGAAGCCACGTACGGTATTGTTCCACGTAACGCAAAGGCAGCAAGATTTCCACGGTCGCCAAGCCAATCTATGTAGAGTTGAGCGAGCGAGCGCGCACTGTCGCGTTTCCCTGACGTGAGGTAGTGGGGCTCGGCAGCTTCAAAAACGCCCTCTAGAGGAGAGGATGCTAAGTGATTTTGCAGTGGACGCCAGTGACAAGGATCAGACCTTTGTACAGTAGCTCTCCAATGTAATGATGTAGATCAGGATCACCCGCGGGATTGGCACAATGTTTGCCCGACCAGCTTGAGGAGTAATCATTGAAGGCGAAATACACATCGGGGGACTGTATTAAAATTACTTACCCAACAGCTTTATCGATGATTGTCTTCCTCCACGCCCCAGATGACCCCGTCAATGCAATAAGTTGAGTGACTCGGCCTAGAAGCAACGATTCAATTAAGCAATAAAGTCGACTCGATCTAGCCGAAGGCGTACCTCGACTCTCCTCATTTACTTCCTCTCCCTTGCTGTCGTAAACGTCCAACATAAACGACGCTAAGTCTATTCCACTGCCCTGCTGCCCTGCCTTCAGAAGCTCCCGCGCGGATTGAAAGAGAACGTCGATGGCCGTATCATACTGTTGTGCCTTAGCATATCGCGAAGCAAATGTACGGGCCTTCTGGTGGGCTTCATACGCCTGGCCTGAAGCGATGAGAGGGAGCACGGCATCGAGAGCTCGGGAGGAAGATGGTTTGGATACGGGAGCCATCTTCTGCAAGTTATCAGCGGAGCGGATATAAAGAAAGGCTCTGCGGGGATCAACGACGAATACTGAAGCTCGGAGATGCCGTTGAAGCGTTTGAACTCCGCGTCTTGGACGCGATCTCCCAAAAATCACTTCTGTCCCTTCGTCCACGGCTTACTTATACAGGAGTGTGTTGCTAGCGTTTTGCACATACATGCTCCCACACGTGCTTGTCTTTATTTCGCTCGCTTAGATTCAAGGCAGTGTTGAAGTTGTCACCTCGTTCGTGCACTGCAACTCGCCACTCAGCGCTGATTGACCAAGGTTGTTGGTCTCTTGCTTTCTAAAAACATTCTGTTTTCTCCACGTTGCCGACCCAGATTGTGGGTTCGCCCCGTGTACGCCCATGCCCATCTGTACTAGCTGTACTCATCCTACACCATATCTCTACACCGTCTATCAATCGGCGTATAACCTACGGTTGGAGCAATGCGTTAGCAAACAAATATGCGTACAGTGTCTGTTCTAAAGCCGTCATATCTAGGTGAAATGCCATGCCTTCGCCGATCCGTACATTGAGCATGACACCCTAACTCTTCTGCTTGATCTGATCCTCCTAAAGAGAGACGTGTATCGGCATCTCTTGTTTAACAGGGGTCTAGGGGCACGGAGAGCAGGTAGTGGTGATATTTTCTTTGATTCACGAGCCGTGTCGCATTTAATGTCATGTCAGACGATCAATCCCACTCCGCGGACTATCTTGTGGACTGGAGACAATGTAGGGAGAAGGTATGTCTGCTACATCAGAGTATTTTCGTCAAGAAGAGAATTAGTGTGGGTAGGCTAGGTGGTGGCTGATTGTGAAGCTTGGTGCTGCTTTGATCGCGGTAGATGCATGTTCGTCATGAATTTTTCGAATTATTCTAGGAGCTTAGACTGACATTCGATCACGGTTTCCGGACTCCAGTCATTAGATGGGCCCATCTCAGTAAATCCAGGGTACTGCGTGTGTCGTAGCATTAAGTTCAACTAGTGCATTCTAGATACTGGCGCTCCGTCTGATCGATTGGAAGAGATTGTTCATTGGAACCGCGATTCTTTGGAATGCTTTGTACGGATTCTTGGTGGATGTTTGTTCGGTACGTTTGTCTCTGTCATGCGGGAAAAGGTCCGCTGAAAGGTCATCAGAGACGGTAGCGTTCCATGCTGGCATTGTACTAGCCTGCCATATCGTTTTCGAGTGTCTAAATCGGGCTCGTCGGTGGAAGCCTAGGGTCTCCGAAGCATCACAGACATCAGGAATTTCACAAGAATTTAGGTACGTTTACGCTAAGCCAGGGCTTTAGAGTATCGGATTTTTGACACCGCGTGTGTTACCCGTGCAGATACTCACATGTTCCACTCACCTTGCTTTACTCGTCGTTGACGAAGCTCTTTTTACTCTTTCTGCTGTCCATCTGGCGTCCAAATTCCCACAACGAGCCTCAATTTTCCGCGGAAGTCCATGAATCGATAACTTTTGCCCGCGTCTTGAGCCTTCTCAACGAAGATACGTTTGATCGTGAGTGGGTAGTACGGAATGTATTAGGCGGAATGGCTGCTGGCTTTGGCTTAAGAGGTAAGACCCAACCATAATCCCTGATTCTGTTTATAGGCCAAGATCTAACACCGGTCTTAAATCTGGCTTTCGAACACTAAAGCTGATTTTTTGCCTTAACAGTCGTACTGAATTGTCATCCTGTTTTTACTACCATCATCATACTGGCGGGATGGGCAATTAAAACCATGGCCGCTCAGTTTGTTAGCCAATGGGTGGAACTCGCACAAGGCAGGAAGGTGCCAGGAGACATGTGGTTGGCATATAGTATACCCTAAATCTATCCCATTTCGCATTCACAGATTACACATGTACATAAGCATAAGTCGGCAAAGCGATCAGTGACACATGTGCCAAATTTAGCAACGAATGGACAGGAAGAACGAAACAGGATGCAATTAGGACCGAATTACAGGATAAAGGGGAAGATAGCCTTCCTTTCCCTTGGGTACTCTTTGAACTCTTTTCTGTATGCCTTGTGTCGCTTCAATGCCCACATGGCCAGGATATACGTCGAGACCGCGACGAAGAACCACGCTATGGAATAGAAGCATCCATAACAGTCAGTTCTTGCAAGGAAAGAAAAGAAGTATCACACGGACCAGCATAGCTTCCGGTCATGGCGGCTATGGCCACCCAAGAAATAATTTCGAAGAAGTAGTGAGGACATGAGACCAGAGCAAACCCATAGCCATACGGAATTGAGCGTGTCTTAGTTCCTTCAGGACGAAGGGAGCGTAACGTAAGGTGGGCGTAAAGATTGGAAAGTTCAGCAAACTGTAAAATTTTTTAGTTACAGCGCCAATTTAGTCGCAAGTCTAAATACATACAAGCCAAAGCGCTGCGCAGCTCCACAGGAACCTAGGGTTATCCCTGAGCGAGCCGCGAACATATTGCGCATAGTTATCGTATGTAGGACTGTATACCGCGGCCGCGAGGAGGAAGCCACTCAGCACCCAGTAATGTGCAGAACTGTGTTGAAGGGTCAGTATATCTAAAGTAACCATACGCCAGCCAAAAGCGGTTGGAACGCACTTTCTGAATACAAAGGAGAACGGCATCGTGCCGTGAGAGAAGCGATGCACGTAAATTGTCTCCAGCTCGCGCTTGATGAAGTGCGCAAGCACAAGACCAAATACCATCCTGGTTCATATCAGCATTAAGTATCTGAAATCGGAGAGCAACGTACTTTTGTAGCATACTTTTCGGAACGAGGGCACCGTACCAGAACCGCGGGTAATTATAAATTAGCGGATGGATGATTAGGGGACCTGCCTGGAGAACGTATGGAGCTCCGCAGTATGCTAGGCATGGTGGCGGATTACTCACGTATTCAATCACGTAGACTGTACGCCAACCGAGTTGAGCTCCCAAATCTTTGACCGTGAGCTCTCCTCCATCGCTTAGACCCGTGTCTTTGAGGGTAATTTCGTCCGCAAGCGCCTTCCGCTCTCCTTTGAGTGTGAGCTTTTGACGCGATGCATAGAACTAAGTGGATAATCACAGTTGCGTTCACAGTGGCGAGACAGCTAGACTCACTCTGGGGAATTTTGTAGCTACTGCCGCTTTGACATCCGCTACTGTAACATCCTCGAGGTTCTTATCCAGTGTAATAGTAACCGGAAGACCCCTAGCCAAAGACACGCGACCGACAGCAGAAACGTTTACTGTGACCATAGTATACGCGAACTAGGGAACTACAGGTGGCAGAAAGCTAGGTAAGGCGCTTTCAAGCTACCGTCGAGTTATTTCGAGTTATAGGATATAAATATATTTATTTTAAGTCACTGGTCTCTTGTTGGACCCGTGGCACAGTGGTAGCGCGTAAGATTCCAGTTAGTGGATATCCTTAAGGTCATCCGTTCAAATCGGGTCGGGTTCATGTCTTTTTCTTCTAATTTTGCGTGCAGGTCTTATTTGACGCATATAAATTCGTATGACAGATCATAGATAATGCATTTGCATCGATGCTCAATATATTAGTAGATAGGCTCGATAACTTGAGATGTACAGTATAGTATCCTGTGATGGCCCGAAAGATACAGGATGAGCACGCTACCACAAGGTTCACAGAAGGTTACAAAGTAAACTTGGAACATGAAGTGAGGCAGGATTCGGACTCTAACTTTCAAGCGAACATTTGCTTCGCAAAGGAGGGTCGGTCGGAGTCCCGGACATATTCTGCCAATTGATCCCCAGCATATTCAAAACCGCATAGTACATACCCACAGTACTTGGAGTTACAAGAGCTTTGTCAGAAGACGGCGAACGTCATGAGCTCAGACATGACTCGCATCTGATTGAGGACGCCCGGCGCAACCTGGAAGTCAGACCTTGGCCTGCACCCAAGCCCCGCCCGCAATTGCACAGGCCTCGGAGCCCTTAGCAGTTCACCCGCCCGAGACGGGGCAGGTCATGCCAATGGATATCTTTCCCCCGCGAAGAAATGTAGAAGTGGGACCATCCTTCATTTCCTCATTGACTTTGTGCTAACGCGGTGAGGTACGAGGTCAGTGCGGTTAGCGGAAACCCTGACTAAGAGGCAGACGCGAGTTCAATGGCAAAAGAGGTACGCGTTCCCTGGTGAGCCTGTTGCGGTCGACACTGTAACAAAGTACATGGATGGTAGCCACTGATGGAAAAGTTGACTGCAGAGTGGCCAAGTTGTGTGTAGGTCGATAGTCTGTTGCATGGCCTTATGTAGACTGGAGACCACCCGTGAGCTTGTATCACAGAATTTGCATGCCGATCTCGGAAGATGTTATTGAGTCGTCAGGTTTGGCCTGAAGTTTCCAGAACTTTAATAGTACAATCAATTTAGTCAATAACAGACAGGAGATGACACCTCGCCCTGAGTCTGTAGACGTCCTGCGTGTTATTTACCCTTTAATCGTTCGAGCAACGGCATTCCCAAAAGTAATAATTCCCACATCATGTACAGGGCTATCCACTAACCTCCGATTACCGGTTCCAAATCAGTACGAGAGATAGGCTCTTGAATAGATACAATTGCGCATCAAACGCTCGAGACGCAAGACCTGCACGCTCAGCGCGTTGGAAGTATACTTTATCGTTCCAGCATAATACGATAGACTAACAATTTACTTTAGACGTCCAACTTGAAGGAGATCTGCCACCTAGTCGCAATTCGAATGCAACCAAAGCACCTATTTTTACACGCACGTAAATCCTTCGGGAGTAGATTGGTTTCCTCCATTATAACGCAAGCTCTTCGGAAACTGCCCAGGTGTATCCAGTAGGTCAGTTATGCTTCAGTGATGAAAAGGACGTTTCGCTGACCTGGCACAATGGCCGCACAAATCCGACACCATCTGTCACATTGTTGTGGTTCCAGTAGACTGCATACAGCGAGGATGGTGCGATTCCCTGCTCAACCCACTGCACGATTGCCGCGAGGATATTGTATTCTGGAGCCATCGACAGCGGAGGCATCCCATTCGACGCTTGTTGCGCGCCGCCGAACGAATTGGCACCATATCCGCGCTGCAGCGCAGTAAATTCCAGTCATGTGCTCAATATGTAATCAGGTTGGCTCACCCTACTGCATAGCACCACCAGAGTTAATGACTCTGCCATGAGGCCAGGATGGATTTGAAACTCACCAGTGGTTCATCCCGGGTGCAGTGAACATGCGGTAAAAATCATCTATCTTCAGCTCTGTATGCGCCTGGGTGAACGCATACACCGATTCATACCAGTGCAGCGAGTTCCCCGGGCTGATCAGCTGGTCTGCCCATCCAACATAGTGCAGGACCTTGCCGTTATGCTCTGGACCTGCGAATGCAGTGAGGTTGGGGTCGATCGCCTGCGATTCCATCAACTAACATGCCCTAATACAACGTCAAAAAGCTCACATTGGACTGTCCAGGATCAATTTCGTCCGCGATGGGAATAAGAGATGCGTTATATTGCTCAATCGTCCACTCCGTGTCACTTTGTAGAGACGGTTTGATCAGCGGAACACTTCCACAGGTACAAAGATCTTACTTTAAGACAAAATACCGGAACCACTCCTGAGAAATCTCAAAAGGAGCCTGGGTCACAAGGGCATCAGGGAAGGCCACCTCCCCTCCCGGATAATAGGACCCGAATATCCACGTCTGATTGGTCTCGTAGTAATCTGCGTAGATTCGACGGGCGGCTTCAATCTGCGGGATAGTGAGGCACGTCGATGGGTCCTGTCCAGGACGGCAAGTGAGGGTTTCTGGTCGGAAGCTGGTGTATACAGAGCATTCAATGCTCTGGCGGCACGAGGCCCGACTAAATTAACCTACTTGCAGAATCTTGGATCATTAATGATACCATCTGTCAGCTAGTGAAGTATTAGCTCATGAATTCGTCTTCGTCGCGTAGACCAATACATGCCCCGTCAAGTGCATCGCATTGTCTCAAAACCTCCGGATGAACGACATGAATCCACTGTGATGCATTTATGAAACGTGACGCAGGTCGAACGTCGAGATTCATGTGGATTGACCAATCTTGCAAGTGCGTCTGCCAGTTAGCGGGGGAGCCTACAACCTGTTCCAGCGTAAGCAATTAAAGAGATCACGATAACGAAGATTAGACTCACGACACCGTCGAAATCTTCCGGGAATGTTTGGATTTCCTTCAGCCTATCAAAGATCAGAAGGGGATGATATCTACAACGGAACCCAACATACCCCTGACGTCCGCCTGCAGGTTAACTCAGATGAGCAGACCTTGGCACTCAAAAGTATGCCTTGGACTCACCTGTTGAACAACCCAGATAATATGATTTATTGTGTATTTGGTCGTAGTACTGATTTGTGACTTCTTTTCCCGAGATGACACTCAGATGTAGTGCCCGCCACCCCCAATCGACAATTGCGTTCTAACGGTGAGGATACACATCAGTTTAGATACAGAAGAGATCGCAGATACACACATCATTGTGCGGACCACCCCAGGTTCCTACCCGCACACCCCCAGTATGACCGGTATCTGTTGATATACCTGCAACTGTACAGAAGAGTTGAGTCAATGTATGCGTACGACGTATCAAGCGACTTACAGCCTTGGGCGATGGCAAGATATCCAAGATCTGCGACGTTGACTGTCAAGGTGATGTCAGATTGGGAAAAGTCTGCGTGATGAAGGCCGATGCGTACCTCCGCCAGCGAACCCGCCGTTTCCGACAGTCAGAACGCGGCCATTCCATTCGTCGGGCAGCCATACTTCCGTGTTGCACGACGAATTCGCCGTCGTGTTGGTAGTAATTACAAGCTGAACACGGCAGAATCCGGGGAGGGCATTTGTGTCGATGCTTGACATATGTGTTGCCAAATCTACAGTAGCATTTGCGGCGTAGTATGTTGTGGCGAAGACAGTAACATCTGTCCGATTATGGAGTGTGAAAGACGAGCATGTAGACTCCCAGCCGAGAACGGTGTGAAAGTTGAGTAGTGCTGGGGCAAACAGCCATTGCAGACCGTAGAACATGGGGAGGGGCTTGACAGGGATCATGTTTCAAGATGACGATGACGATGAGTCCTGCATCTTTATACTGCTAGTAGGCGCTGCAAAGCGGCAAGATACAGCCCTCGCGTCTACGAGCAATCGCTGTCATGGGGGTGTTGCATGAACTGTCGTACAGTATCATAAGGCGCTCAGGATAGCCAGACGTATTGAACCGTCGTTGTTAGCGTCATCGGTGTATGTCGCCCATCACTTGCATGGTTGTCCTTGAGGGTCTTAGCCTTTTATGGTTATTCTGTGCCTCGAGGCTCGCGCTCTGAGCGAGCTAACATTTGGTGGCTTGATGGCCAGTCAGTTTGCATCAGTAAGGACGGTCCAATTCGCTCGCCAAACCTGCGAGTGCAGTATGAATGAAGCTAATGGGAACGTATGTACTGGTTGCCACCATCATAGAACTTCAAGTCAGTTTCACAACAATATCATTCCGGACTTCAACCCCACCAGTGACGTACATCCTCTGTTGCGATGTCCGTCATCACCATGGGATGTAAATTTATATGGGCGCATAGCCTTCTATATGCTCCCCCAGGCTCTCCGCAGAAAAATCATACAACGTGCATTTCACGGAACGAGCACGTACCTATTTGACTCCGCAGCCTTAGTAGGAGCGTTTTAGAACAGCAGCGCGTTGATGCTGCATGTCCTCGTATAGACAATCGCGCCGCACCCGCGTTGCTGATCAGCGATCTCCGAGACTTCAACGCAGGGGGTCACATATCACATAGTCAACATCATTTGTCGTGCACGCAGCCGCAGGAGACGACGATCAAGCAAGACACCGAGCATGCACCTGATCACTATGGGCCGAGGCAGCATGAATTGAGGCGAGCATTTTACTTCCGCGAATGAGCGCCCGATCATACTCCGCCAATTGATCGCCAGCCACCTGGTATGTTCATAATCACAGCTTCCGTCGTGCATGAACAATATTACCTACTAGCAGCCAAAGCAAATGCCAGATTACGGGGCCACGTACATACTCACAGTACTTGACAAGACGTGTCTTGAGCACGATCGGGAAGGAGCGTTGTCAGAAGGGGACGAACGCGATGAGCGAGTCAGACCCAACTCACATCGGACAAGGATGCGCGACGCAAGCGCTGAAGTGGCCAGCCGTCAGGTGCATTGCTTGAGTTACGTCGAGTAAATCACAAGACAGTCTCCAGGAGACAAGACAATACAACCAGTTAGATAAAAAAAAACAGAACGTGGCGCCCGGTGCAGATATAGTACATAGCTGTCCGTACGTATACCGTTCCCTGCGACCCTAATCACCTGATGACGAAATGGCAAGACTATCTGACGAGCCAAGAGGGCGACCGGGGCAAGCTCGAAGCTCAAAACAAAAAGAATCAAGGTGGGAGCAGAGACACCGAGGGGTATTAACACAAATCAATAAACAGAAGTGTGGACAATGCAAAAAGAACCATGCAAACTGGGATAGGGGACGGTGCACGTGAAGACAAAACAAAGGATGGAAAGGGAGAAAAGCAGGAAATGATAATAAATCAGGTGCGGCGACAAGAGGCATACACAAAGCGAGCATGGGAGAGGCATATGCAGTCCAAAACAAGAGTGTTTGACATGAGAGCGTACAAGGAGTAATGGGGGTGACAGGATCATGAGGAGTTCCATGCGAATGGCATTGCGTGTCGGGACGCGTTGATGGAGGCATCGAACCGAGACAATTTCAGAAAGCAAAATGCGCTGACAATCATAGACGAAGACATGATCGAGTGGGAGTGTAGAGTGTGATAATCAAACACATGTGATGGGACTGCAGCAGACGAAATGATAGGTGGGTGTAGATGATGATGGATGCGTGCGGCAATGAAAAGTCGGACTGGTGATACAAATGGTGAGCCAAGGAGACGATAAAAATGCATGAGACGAAGCGATGGGACAGTCGAGTACAGGAGGGTCCCGCCATCCACTTCGCAAACAACGCCTCTTATGCTTCGACGTTCATCTCTCTCGGTAGATCGTCCTCGATATGTGAACGCGCCCACTCGATGGCGTACAATGATGCTTTCAGGAATTTCTTGTTCGCGTACTTCTGGCAGACATGTTGCTTTGTGAAACCCGCCTCGGTGAGTTTGTCAATAAGGAGCTGGTGACCAGGGAAGAGGTGTTCTTCCGTAAAGCCGGAATAGAACACAAACGCATCATTCTGAAAGCGACAAACAATGCAAGTCAGTTCATGTTCCATCACGTGAGCGTGACGCATTAAGGAGGACAAAAGAACAGAGTGTGTGATCATGGCGTCTCAAGATATATGATGGCTAAGTGATAGACGAGTTACTCACCCAGTCCCCACCCAACATCCTTCGCGCAGTATACATTCCTATAGCCGCCACTAAGCTAGGTTTGACCCTTAGGAATCGATGATCTAGTAGCGTAACCTCCGTGAGGAACTTGCTCAAGGTGCGTGTCTGGATATCGTAGTCGTCGGCTTTGCTGATCTTGCGCATCCAGCTATACGGTGAGCAGTAATGACTGATCTTGAAGTCAAGTGTCTGCAACACAATCCGCTCGCCCTTCAGAATTTCCTCTTTCGTGTAGCCATTCTCCGTCATATAGACGAACTCGTCAACCGAAGGCGCGAGGATTTCCTCGTATTTCGCCGCGATGAACATTGCAATAACGCCAACGAGCTGCAACTTGAGGATGTAAACGACTCGTTTGCTCAAGAAGCGATCGACAATATTAACTGCAGTCCAGAGGGTTTCAGGAAGCATGTGGTATCGCAAGTGTACTTGCAAGAGCCAATCCACAAGCGTCTGACGCATTGCCCAAGTAATTTCGCTCTGGCCGTCCATATAGTCAGGGTTTGGCATGACGTCCTCCTACATACACCATTAGAATGACGGTCATATGCGCACAGGTGAAAGAAAGACATACCTCGAGCTCGGTCATATACTCGAATATCTCTTCTGAGTATTCGGAGACCATCGTCATGTCGTATTCATCAACGGGATCATCAAAACTTTCCCGAATCTCGTCGACCTCTCGTCTGTACCGTTCAGCGCGTTCCGTATTGACTTCTGGCCATACGCGCTGCGATTTGGCAACGAAATCCCCAACTTCCAGCTCGAGGTCTTCATCATAACCAGCGGCCTCCATATTGACCTCCTGCTCTGCATCGAGCGAGTTCATTTGGTCGGCGGAGGATGACTGGACGACAATCTGCTGCTCCTCAATATCCATGTCATCATCTTCACCATCGAGATCCTCGGTCGCCATGGGTGGGAGGTATTCCTGAGGAACAGGGACCGGGACGCGGTGAGCAACCCGTGCTGGAACATGAGGTCGTTGCACGCGTATTGAGGACGATCGGGTGTGAACAGAGGTCACAGTGGGAGCTACTGGACCAGCCCTAGTGGAGTTCAAAGGCACCCTCTGAGGCCCGGCCACGACCGCAGCTGAGGAGCGAGTACGTTTAGTACCAACCTCTGCGACTTCCTTCTCCTTGCCATTACCGTTAAACTTGTTAACGTTTTCCTGCATCAACAGATCATGATGAGCACGTCACAGATCTGATGGCACAACAACAATATTTTGGGAACAACAAGAGACATACTTTGCGGTTGACGGCTGTCGTAGTCACTTCGCTGAGAGCGGGACGTTGAGGGCCAGTTTTTGCAGCGGCGACAGCGGCGTGCGGGAGACGCGAGACACCTTGAATAGCAACGCTTGAAGATTGTCGGACATGTCTACTCGTTGCGTTTTCATCGCCGTTGATTTTGGGACGCTGAGGGCCGGTTCGGTTGCGCATAGGCAGCTAAATGTGGCGCACCAGTTGAGAACAGTCGGAGCACGCCAGAGCGATAGAAAAAATAAACGTACCCGGACAGAATGGTTTGCCATTGTTCAAATGTGAATATCTACTGTGAAGCGTTGGGAATGACAGCAAAACGAAGACCAGGATGAACTTGGTGTATGAGTGTGCCGTTCGCAACAAATAGAGAGAAGAGAATAAAATGGGCCCGACGTGCGAATGTGTGAAAGAGGGGCGAAGAAGGGAATGGTGCGCTCTCAGGAGGAGACGACAGTGTCAGCCTATGGTACGGCAACAACTTGGTTGTGGATGTTCGTTTCGCGATTTCAACTTGGCCCGCGTCGCGTTTGCACGTGACCGCCAAACTGAAACAAAGAACGCGCCAGCGCGTCCTGTCACACGCTGTCACGCTTCTGCTCCAGTCTCAGTTTGTAGACTGCTCCCGTCGCACGACCCAAGAGTAAGACACCGCGTGCGCCGTACGGTATGCAGTCTTGTAACTATTGAGACCAGTCCTGCATACACCCTCACCGAGAATGTTCCCAGTGCGAATCCTGCGCATTGAGAACACGTATGTCTCCGAATGCCGACATTTTTGATATGCAAGGACGCTTTACAGTAACTGAGGGCATCGCCTACGCGTACGGGCCGAATGCGGGGCCACCGGTATCGCCGCGGTCACCAACGCGCCTTGTGTCATCCGCCTTGGCACTCTGTCTGGCGGTGGCGCAGAGAAAGAGATCAGACCCGTGAAGCGACGAGCGCACTCGGCCATAAGCATAAGGTGAAGGTACTAGACGCACAGCACCCGACCACAGTGAGTAGCCCATCCGAAAGCCGTTCAGCCATGACTATTGCTGCATAACGACAACGACGTTAATTGACACTCGAGACATACGCATAATACGGAAGGAATATAATGGCATTCGTGGACGGGCTGCTGGCAAAACATCGCCCAGGCCATTGTATTACGGACACGGCCGTTATCGTGGACAGTCATGATCTCTTAGCATCTTACCTCTTTCATGCAGCGTCTAGCGGGAATTGGAAGGGGTTGCAGAATCGGAATATTATCTGAATTATAATCCCAATAAATATACCTTCACTATCATTCGACGGCGACATCGAACAGAGCAAAAAATTTTGAATGAAAAGAATACCAATGAGCACAGAGCCTTGAAATCCGGGGAAGTCAGTTATACAGTAACTAAAACTGTATATAGCATAACATATCGACGCCGAGTTTCAACTTTTGACGTAGTAATCATATTGTGTGAACATCCAGACAAGAGAGACGGCTTGATGTGAAATATGAAAAGCGATGTAAGTCCGTTTGCAATTGAGACAAGGGGACCTGGATTCACTCACATGATACAATTACTGGACTCATGACAGGAACGTTGAGCCTTGCGGTCCGGAAGATGAGTAACTCAGAAGCGAAGTGCGCGAATGCGAAGAGATAGCTGAAGAGCGCAAGATCATAGATCCTAAGGAGGAGAGAAGTCAGGGCGGGGTTAGGGAGTTTCGATCTAAGCATAGCGCACTGTTTTATATTTATATAATATGCCGCATAAAGCCGTATTGTTGCAGATGTGAGCGTCCATATGGCGAATGTCCTCGCTTGCAAGGGGGTCACTGTAGGAGCGGTGAGATATCGGAGGGCGTGCAGAAGGCGATTACTTACCGGGATACGGTGGTGCGGCATAAAGCTGGCGAGTGAACTTCAGGGTCACGAAGTTTTGGACGGTGTTGAATATGGCCATCACTGCGACAATAAGTTGCCATTTTGGTAGCCACCCGGCCGCCTGCGGGAGTGCGGCATGGGCCACGGCGAGCAACGCTGGAGAAATGTCAGCCACAGCGGAAGGAATGAGGAGGGGAAGCACTTGCAGTCAGACAAGGCCATGGCGGTTCAGACGGAGATGGCTATCGTTGTGGTTGGGCGGATGCCAGACGCTGATTGTTCGCGTCCTGCTCGCTCGCCCTCGCGCAAGCGGTTTCGGAGCGTGGGAACTCGGCGCGCCCCTGCCTGTGAAATAGTTATACCGACAATTATGAGCGTTCCAGACTTTCGCCGTACCGGCGAACTCTGGTTCGTCGTCGTTGCGACCACCGTCGAAGGTCTGAATGGAGTCGACGACCATATCCATCCCCAGAAACCTCCACGATCGGCCTTCCGCTGTGCGTTCCAATTCTCTGGCCAGTACTGCGAGCTCTGGGGGTGCATCCCTAACGCGGAGGTCGCGTACGCGTACAAGAGCCCTCACCTCTGCCGCTAGACCTGACCGGCGAGGGAAAAGTCTTGGACCAACCGGTACCAAAACCAGAGATGCAGACAACGGCCCCCATGCGACTCCTCCCGACACACATCATCCCCCTCTCCCGACTACTCTGCACAACGAGGCGAAAGAGATGATAACTGCACCCAGTGCCCAGGTGGAGTCGTCGTCTTCTCGTAGGCCCTGGACAACAGGTTCAGATGGACGGCCTACTGTTGTTGTCGAGGAGGCTTCCCAGAGCGACGGACATGGAGAATTTGGTGGTGGTAGTATCGTACCGCGGCTGAGGCAGACACGATCTGAGGGCGGGTCAATAAAAGGGGTATGTCGGCTGTACATACTGCTCAGGATTATTGCTGAAGAACACGATACAGATGAGAGCACGCGCCATGAGTCTTCCCCGTCAAGTCTTCCGAACGAATGCGTCTCCCGACTCATCTTCTCAACCCAGTCCATGCACTCCTGGACAGGCATTTCAGGATTTTACCCTCGTCAGAGTGGCTGAAAATGATCGCCCAAACTTCAGAGATTCAGTGTTGACGCATATCTCTTCGACTTCGTCCTCCCTGTATCCAGCCTCGACCATTACGGGTTCCCATACGGAGTCGTCCTTGCCATATTCTCCCGACGAAGATTCTGACCGCATGCGCGCGTTCACCCCCGAGATTGTTTCTCCAGAAAAATCTGACTTCGACGCGGACGATGTCTCATATCGCCTTCGGCTCCTTGTGAACAACAGCTACTTTCTCCCCCCTGCGCATGCTAAGCCTTCCCCTTTATCACTGGCTCCCCCGGATGCAGCTGTATCCAAGAAGTCCCCTAACAAGACTTCTAATAGCGCCTTCTTGGATTTCTTCCGAATAGGCAAGTCGAAATCGAAACCCACAACGCCGGTGTCTTCCGCGGGTGATGGTCTTATGGGTCCTGTCTTGAGGACCACATCTGATTCCACGACTGTATCCGGCTTCGTATCGCGCCCTCCTGCTCATTCGCTGCCTCAAACACCTATTCATGTGTTGCCGTTACCCAGCTCCATGACTAGGGTCGTCGTCGTGCGAGAAAAGATGGAGGATCTCGTCGTGGCAGCGAAGCAGGCCGAGGAGGATCTGAAAACGCGTGCAACCATCCGAAAAGCACGGAGCCAATCCATACCGAGAGTGAAAGATTGGCAAGTAGACGTGATCGATCCCACTGACGCCGTCGATCTGCCACCGCCGCCCGTGGGGAGTATTCCGTTTGCAGTCCAGACGTCTGCTGCATATGGGTTGGGCATCAGAGATTCTATTGGCGCGGCAGTGCTGGCGGAACAACTACCCCCCAATAGTCCAGGCTTATGGTCCTTCAATTCCGACGAAGACTCGTGGCGTAAGGCGCTTCTCCGTGAGGCCGTCAGTCACTCGTTGAGCAATTCTGCCGACATCTCATATGCAACTACTTCCACTGACCGGTCGCCCTTTCCATCGCCGACTTCGCCTTCCATGCATACATCGTCTGCGGAAACTTCGGACTCGTTAGATGTCCCGACGCAGTCGACCCCGAGACATAGGATAGGACAGCAGATTATGCCGCCCCAGGAGCTGACCGTCCGTGCGGAGGTAGAAGTGTCGCATAGTCCAACTACTCCAACTCAGTACGCCAAAGCCCCGATGTCTGGCAGCAGCCTAGTTGCTTTTCTTACCAGATCTCCTGCGGGAACGGTTGCATCGTGGCCGTTCTCAAACAGTCCCCCTGGTCGCGCAGAGACTCCCGCCCAAACTCACCCGCTCGCACCCGCCCCTCGCAGGCAGTTGGGCAATCCTCACTATTCTCTTTCTCAGCCCGATCTGTCAAACCCTTCTATGGACGAGCAGCTAAGCTTGCCAGGGCCGTCACGTTCGTCGCCGCAGGCTCTCAGAAAAGCTGTCTCATCCCCTGGGCTTTCCGACGCGCATGGTGGTAGTGTTGGGATCGAATTCCGCGCGATGTCTCTCAGCCCTCCTCCAATGTCAATCTCTCAGCGACTGTCTGCACATTCGTCGGTCTCGGTGCAGGATCTCCGACCGACTCCCTCGTTCTCGTCGAACCTTAGCGCGATGAGCCAGGCTCGCATATCAGACGATGACCTATCGTATGCCACACCTGCGGATACTGATGTCGATCAGGCGATAGATTATAGGCCGTCCGTGACGGTGTCGTTGACGACTGAGAACCGACCATCATTATCGATATCTGACTATTCGCATCCCTCTCCGACGGCTTCGGCGTTCCACGATGCGATATTTGGCAGCTGTCGGGCACCATCAGTTTTATCAAGGAGAAGTTATGAGCCAGAGGAGTTTGATTCATCGAGTGAAGCATTTATCCTCGCAGATATCCCTGCCCCTCTGCCCCGTGCTCACGTCGCGTCCCCACCTCCTCGTGTCTCGTCCTCGGCGAATCATACTGTGCTACCTCCCCCTCCCAGGTCACCTGCAGCCAAGCCCGTTTATCGTCCGTCTATATCCTCCCGCGCTTCCACTGATCCTGGCCATAAGTCGTCGCCTCTCAATCCATACTCGTCCCATAGCGATCCGCCACAAAATTCATCTATAGAATCGTTTGCAACTCCTGTCTCGGCGATCGCATTATCTGAACGTCGTGGCCAAGCATCCTTGCTTTCACTTAGGATTCCGACCGAGTTTATGCCTGCAGCCATTCACTCGGCGCCAGCACCGGCGTCGCCCACGGAGTTCTTTGACCGTATCGAGGCTACCATGGAGCTGGATGAACTCGACGAGAGCGACGAGGAAGAGCCTACTGCCCCGCCTGCAGCAGTCTATTCGCGATCTCGTGCGCGGGCAGATTCCGATATCTCAAGCACCAGCATCCCACGCCCACCATTTATGCGCTTGGGTAATCACTCCACACCTCAGCTTGGCCCTCCGTCTCTTTCTGACGAGCCTTCATCTCCAATGCGCCTTTCTGAGAGCAGAAAGCCTGTGTCGAATATACCCGAGCGACCTCGCCGTGGCAGCTTTTTCTCGCACAGAAAGAAGGGGCTCACCAACAAGGACATTCCCCTACTCTCATTCGCCGACCTCGCGTCGTCGTCGCAGGGGAGTCGGCCGGATAGTAACAGTGGGGGGCGCGCTTCTGCGCGCAGGAGGCCTGCTACCGCCAATGATGCCGAGACCAAACCTAAGCAGCCGCAGAGGGAGTCTTTGCTCATGTTTGACGGGATGCTCGTGCGGCACATGGAGGCAGAAAAGGATAGAATTAGGCAGATCACCAGCAACATGTCGGGTTCAGGTTTAGCGAAAGGTTAAGTTTAGGGTATTTACTTGTTCTATTTCGTTTGTCGTCTTAAGGTTGGTTTGCGTCGCACCTGTATTTGCAGCTTTCGTCTCACCATTACTTATCTCATAGTAGATCTCGTTGCTTGATTTCCCTAACTTACTCATATCCCTGCATGCAGGCTTTGCATTCTGTACATACCCTTCCTTCACCCACAGATACCACACATTCCTTTGCGCCGTGTACACTCACCTCGTACTTCCCCTTCTACCGTTATTCGTTCACCGTAATTCACCCTGGGCCATCTTGGATCTTGACAATCAATGATTCTCGAATGTATTTATGCACAGTAGAAATACAGTGACAAGCGGAGCAGCTGAGACCAAGCAGGAATGCTAAACTATAAGACCAGGGAGATAGATACATGATGACTGTGTGTATGTAAATTGTTTATGAACTTCCTTGACTTTTCCGCCACGACGAGAAGGACAGAAACCCAACTACCAACAATGCCGTGCCGGCTCCGACCAATCCTGGGATGTACAAATACCATGTCCGGTCATCGTCCTCCGTGGCACGATGATTGTCCATAAACGAGCTTGAGAGATCTCTTGAGCCCTTTCTTCGCCGCCGACGCGGTTGACGGGAAGACGACAGCGGATCCTCGCCAATGGTAATCGAGGGCATCTCCAGTTTCTGCTCTTCCCTAGCTCTGGTGTCCGAGTGTGAGGCTGACCCAGATGCTGGACTCCTGCGATCTCCACTCTCCGCCCCCGAGCCTGGATCCGAGTCAGTGTCAGGAGGCAGGAGAGGAACGTCAAGGGATGGTAAGAGCGCGCGTGCGCGTTCAAAATATCTTCGCGCGCACTCCCTGTCCCGACGCCATCCCTCTGCTCCCGCGGGACTGCCGCCAGTATCGTATCCGCGGCCCGTGCTTCCACTAATGGTCAACGAGGAACGTAGAGAAGAAAGGCCAGCATAAGCAGAGGAAAGAAGTGGTGTAGCAGAACCCTCGAGGTGGAGCACGCCCGCCGACAAAAACAGCTGTGCAAGGCCGGAGGGGCCGCCAATACGGTCTAGGTAGTATTCTGGTGTGCCCGGAGCTGGTGAAGCAAAAGAGGTCTCCGAGATAGTAGGTGTAGGAGTGGGAGGGGATGCTTCAAAGTTGGGCACCTCCAAGTTGTCAGTGCCAGCGGTCGAGAAAGAGGAGGCGGATTGTGCTGGGAGGTAGTGCGTAGCAAGGCGAATCGTTGCAGAAGGGACCCGGGCTTGATGCCATGCTCGCCTGTGCGTATAGCTGAGTATCGCTTTTCGGAGCGCTGCTTAAATGAATGACTTACACAAAATACTCAAAAGCATCCTCATACAATTGACGTATATCATATAGTTCTAGTGCAATCAGCACCAGACTGGTAGGGTCCATGTTGAATCTTGACTCCACCGTCTGCGAGGAAGCTGATGCCCACGGATAGCAGCTGAGCAGAGATGGTGAAAGGCCCTCAGGTACTGGTCCAACAACTAGGGACGGCCAAATGACGGAGTCCGCTTTCTCGAGGTGTAAGGTGAGTAGTCTTCCTGATGCGACATGAAGAGACTCCACTGACGAATAGGAAGAAGTCAAGCTGAAAGGGGGCGCATGGGTGGGTGGTGATGCGGGATACGATGCAATAGATCGGCCGTGGTGTGGCAAAGGGAATAAGGGGAATCCATTGTGCTCATCTATGTATGAGGAGATGGGCGACGAGAGCGCAGGGGAAGACGCTGCTGGGTCATCAATATCAGAAAGAAGACCATGTTCCAAAGAGGCAGCAAAACTGCTAGAAATATCAGGGTCGGAGACGAGTGCATATGATGATTGAGTAGAGGCTGTTGACGTCGTTGAGATTGTACGTTCGCGGGCGGGGCCAGACAGACGTAGAGCTCGTGGCTCAAGTTGCCACATGGAGTTCGTCGTGTCTACATTGCCGTATAGTTGCCCCTGTGAGCATAAATCAGGGAGGAACCAGGAATAGTCCGCAAGGTCCACACCTTCACGATGGGGTTCTGCCCACGTACACCAGCTATTAGATAATTCCTCTCTATAACGACCTGAATGGCCATCAACAATTTGCGAGTAAATGTGTCGGCTGAACAATATTCACCGAGACATCGTCCTCAAGGGTCTCATATGGGACCAACAAGATAACAGTTGCCTACAGTCAGTTAGACACGGCGGTACGACCGCGCAGGCACGAACTGACCTGATCGTGGGACTGCAGCCGTTCGAAGGGATTCAGGCGACATACAGTTATAGGGGATGGGGGTGCTCACTTGGTGCCAGGAGTAGGGTTGGTAGTAATCGTGCAGAGAGTCCATGCTTGCCTCATAATGCGGCGAGCGGTAGAAAAGGGAGGTAAGGAGAGCGGCGCGGACGCCCGCTAAGCTGCAACGCGGCAGCAGCCACACGCGTCCATAGGCGTACACAGTCACGTGCGCGTGATTCGCTCTTAGCGCCGACTTTCACTACCGAGCGCGTGTCAAGTACGTTGACGCGCAGGCTCACGACACCATGTCGCAGTCTCTCGAGTGGGCTTTGTCTTTCTTGGAACCGTCGCCCTCTACTTCGCCGGACAATAGATACTCGCTTATTATCCTCAATCAGCCCTTTTCTCTCCCTCTGCTCGATAGGCTGGGGAAGGCTACCGCCTGGCGCTGCTGTGCAGACGGTGGCGCGAATCGCCTCCACGACACCCTCCGGGATGGCGTCATGGGTCCTTCACTGCAACCTGATCCCAGGCATTTGTAAGTACACCGTGCGATCTTTTTCTTATAATTTCCTAACCAGATAGTGCAGGTATCTACCCGATCTGATTAAGGGCGATCTCGACTCTCTTCGGGACGATGTACGCCGCTATTACGCATCGCAGGTGCGCATTGAGTCTATGACATCGCTCTTATACTCGGACGGATTACTCTCCACTCAGGAGCCGCAGAAACTGATGTACGCATTTCAAGGGCGTTCCCATTGTTTTAGATCATGACCAAGATTCTACGGATCTCATGAAATGTGTAGATGCTTTGATAGACAAAGAAAAGGCTGAGGGTGCATATGTAAGTATTTTTCAAACGCTGATCCATGTAAGGGACACCACCCCCGGTTGTTGGTGGGCGTAGCTGCCCTCACAATGGAGGCATAATACCAACTAGATGGACTGATAACCGACTACTCAATGAGTTCTCCTGTTCAATGCATCTCATTTTGTTCATGATTATGCATCTATTGCACTGACTTCGTTAACCACTTTCATTTTATCTCAGGAATCAGACATTATACTGCTTGGTGGGCTGTCAGGACGGCTAGACCAGACAATCCACACACTCTCACGCCTGCATAAATGGCGCAAATGGCGCAGACGAATATTTGTACTTACGGATGACAACATCGCTTGGGTTCTTGACGAGGTGCGCTCTCCATTGCGCATTCTTACACGGGCTGACTCTATTTTGTACTGAACAGGGCGAACACCGCATTTCTATCAATCATTCTATCCTAGGTCCAACATGCGGTCTTCTGCCGGTCGGGGTTGCGTCCACCGTACTCTCTACCTCGGGTTTGCGGTGGAATCTAAGTATGCTCATACATGTTGTGCCAATTCGTAGGCAATTACTGATCTCCGCCATGTCATCTAGCTGAATGCGAGTCATCCTTTGATGGGCAGGTGTCGACGTCCAATCACCTCGACATGAAAGAGAACACCGTCTGGATTAAGACGACGAAGCCGATCTGGTGGACTGTCGAGCTCCGCCCCTTAGGACTGCAGTGATGACGTTGGAAGTGTGACATTCCGTACTCAATGAGAACTGAATGTCTTACCTGGCGCATTTTTAACATGGTATGACTCGCTAGGGTTGAAGCTGCTTACCGTGCCAGAACAGCTCGTAATTGCAACAGACATGGCAGTAAAATCATCGTGCCACACGGAAGTTTGGCTTGCAGGCCAATGGATCGAGTGTTCGTCCAATGTTGTTCTTTCAGTCGACGTCGCAAACTCGGTACACTTCGCCGCAATACGTGATTGTGAGTTCTGAGCACGAGCTAGTCGGATCCGCTTCTTGACCTTGGTCCTCGGCCCCTCTGCAGGCCCCTGGGTTTCCGTGATCGTCCTATCTATGTCCACAATTAACCTTTATATCAGCTTCCGACGGGAAACCCTCGCCTATAGTGATCTCTTTGCCTGTCTCATAATCCCCCAAATTGAGGCCATGGACTCGTTGCCGAGGACAAGCGCCATTCGTCGCCACATCGAGGCTGACCGCTGCGTGTGTGACAATAGCTCGGCGTGATGTTCGTCATATGATGTGACCCATTGCGTCGAAGCCTCGGAGATCGATTATCAGCGCTCAACTGACTTCCAGCTTCATTCCCACCAGCGACTTCAAGAATATACAACTAGTATATGCCTTGAGAATATACTATTGTGAGTTCTTTGCGCTGATATACACCACGCGGACATCGCGAGACTGTCTAGAGCTAGTCATGTAATACCCAACAATTGCTCCAAAGTACTCCCAGGCCTCGGAGTCAGAGAGGTACGCGTACATTCTATGAAGATCTTTAGAATACGCATCGTATTCAGTTCTTGTTCCCTGGAAATTCGGCATGCTTCTCACTTTCGACCGCGTTGTGGTCAGGCTGCAGCACTCGTGACTCTTTCATCGGATATTTTGTCATTTGCGTGGGACCGTGCGCGATCTTGTCGTGCAATTCCCTCTGGCCAGAGCCATATACGATGTCGCAGGGATCTGAGACCAGTTGTTTGAAGCACCCTGAGTCATGTCCCCTGGGAAGCGCCTCCCTATGTTCTATGGTCTGCAATGGCTGTTTGCCCTAGGACTATTCAACTCTCACATTGCACTCGGTTGGGAGTCTGCGTGCTCGTCTTTCACGCTTCACGATCTGACAGATGTTGCTGTCTCCGCCACAACATACTACGCCGCAAATGCTACTGTGGATTTAGCGACGAATATGTCGAGCATCGACACAAACACCCTCCCCGGATTCTGTCGCGTTGAGCTCGTGATCACCACCAACACAACTGCAAAATCGTCGTGCAACACGGAAGTATGGCTGCCCGATGAATGGAATGGCCGTGTCCTGACTGTCGGAAACGGTGGATTTGCTGGCGGGGGTGCGCATCGGCCTTCACGCAGACTTTTCCCAATCTGACATCACCTTGACAGTCAACGTCGCAGATCTTGGATATCTTGCCATCGCCCAAGGCTGTAAGTCGCTTGATACGTCGTACGCATACATTGACTCAACTCTTCTGTACAGTTGCAGGTATATCAACGGATACCGGTCATACTGGGGGTGTGTGGGTAGGGACGTGGGGTGGTCCGTATAATGATGTACGTATCTACAATCCTTACGCCTGCTTTAATGTTTATCCTCACTCTCAGAATGCAATTGTCGATTGGGGATGGCGTGCACTACATCTGAGTGTAGTCACGGGAAAAGAAGTGGCAAACCAGTACTACGGCCAAACACAAAAAAAATCGTATTATCTTGGTTGTTCAACTGGTGAGTCCGAGGAATATATCTGAGTGCCAAGTTCCGCTAATCTGAGTCAACGTACAGGTGGACGCCAGGGGTATGTTGGGTTCCATTGCAGTTAGCGCCGCCTTCTGATCATTCATTGATATTGATAGGCTGAAGGAAATTCAAGCATTTCCTGAAGATTTTGATGGCATCGTCAGTTCAATCTGCGTTATCTCTTTAGTGGCTCACACAGGATCAGGTTGTGGGCTCCCCAGCCAACTGGCAGACGCACCTGCAGGATTGGTCGATCCACATGAATCTCGACGTTCAACCCGCGTCACGCTTCATAAATGCATCACAGTGGATCAATGTCGTCCATCCGGAGGTTTTAAGACAATGTGATGCGCTCGATGGGGCAAGTATTGACATCCTTGAAAGGACGATGAATGCACGAGCTGACGCTTCGCCAGCTGACGGACGGTATCATTAATGACCCGAGATTTTGCGAGTGAGCTGAAACCATCGTACTTCGAGTTCGGACCTGTCTAAACGTTCAACCTTCTGTATACACCAGCTTCCGACCAGAAACCCTTGCTTGCCGTCCTGAACAGGACCCATCGACATGTCTCACTATCCCGCAGATTGAAGCCGCTCGTCGAATCTATGCAGATTACTACGAGACCAATCAGACGTGGATATTCGGGCCCTATTATCCGGGAGGGGAGGTGGCCTTTCCCGATGGCCTTGTGACCGAGGCTCCTTTTGAGCTTGGTCAGGATTGGTTCCGATACTTTGTTTTAAAGTAAGACCTTTTTTGTTTTGAGAGTGTTCCACTGATTCAATTGCTCCTACGAAGTGACACAGAATGGACGATTGAGCAATATAACGCATCTCTTATTCCTATCGCGGACGAAATCGATCCTGGACAGTCTAATGTAGGTTTTTGACGTTGTATTGGAGAATGTCAGTTGACGGAATCACAGGCGATCGACCCCAACCTCACTGCATTTGCAGGTCCAGAGCACAACGGCAAGGTCCTGCACTATGTTGGATGGGCGGATCAGCTAATCAGCCCGGGAAATTCGCTGCACTGGTATGAGACCGTGTATGCGTTCACCCAGGCATATACGGGGTTGGAAATGGACGAATTCTATCGAATGTTCACTGTGCCCGGGATGAACCACTGGTGCGTTTCAATCAATTCCGGCTTCATAGCAGAGTTGTTAACTTTTGGCGGCGCCATACAGTAGTGTGAGTCTAGCATAACTGCGACCTTGACAACCTATAATCGAGGAACTTACTGCTTTGAAGGGTGGATATGGTGCCAATGCGTTCGGCGGCTCGCAACAAGCGTCGAGCAGCATGCCCCCTCTGTCGATGGCTCCGGAATATAACATCCTTGCGGCAATTGTGCAGTGGGTTGAGGAAGGGACTGCACCGTCCTCGTTGTATGCGGTTTACTGGAACAATAACAATGTGACGGATGGTATTGGATTTGTGCGGCCATTGTGCCAGGTAGGCAAAATACACAGCTAATCACCGACGCATCGCTGACCTATTTGGATACACCGGGGCAGTATCCAAGGAGTTTGCGCTATAACGGAGGAAACCAATCTACTCCCGAAGGATTTACGTGCGTCTAATGGCAAACTCTTGAGTTGCATTCGAAATGCGACTAGGCGACCGATCTCCTTAACTATTCGAAGTGAATGGTCTGTGGTATGATTCCCAAAGGTCAAAGTTCAATTTCACATAAGGGCATCCCTCTGTCTCCAGCCTTGCGTGTGCGACTACCTAGATTTGAGAGACCTTTCGTCCAGTACTCAGAGGTCTGACGGATTCAGGGGGTAAAACGTCCCATCCACCTTTGAAAATACCGTGCCCCGTTGAACGTGAAAATGCCATTCTTGAACAAAGTGTGACTTATCGAGAGATGAGTATGTTAGACGAAGGATTTGAGGGCATATCGCCAGTATCATCTCGACTTAACTGACTGTACTATAGCTGTGGAGACTTCACTCAGAGATATCTTCCGAAAACACTAACATGCGAATTACTGTAGTCGCAGGCTCACGGGTGGTCTCCACACTGCGTGAGACCCAGCCTCTCCTACACAAGTAGAGATTCCAGTAACCGAGATGAACCGCGAGGAGCAAGTCGTTCAAGTCAAGCTGAGTGACTGGCGGTTGCTAGAGACAACATGATAGGCAGGTTTGGGCAGCCGGAGAGCTCGAACCAGCGCCAAGCCAATCAGGACGGGCGGATTATGAGTGTGCATAGAGCCGGCTGTCCGCCGGACCTCTTTGTCCCTCCTCCTCCTCCTCCTCCTAGAACTATATTTCAAGGCATGGCCAGCCTACAGCCATCCTCGCCGCCAGAGATCACCGTGCTGTACTTTGCCGGAGCGTCGACCGCAACGGGACTCACCACAGAACGCGTGCGTCTTCCGCCATTCGAACCCGCATCCGCCTCGCCGCCAGGTTTCCCGCTATCCGCACTACCTCCGTACCTCGCCGCACGCCATCCGAACACGACACTCGCGGCGGTGCTGGCGCAGAGCAGCTGGGCCGTCAACGAGGAAATGGTGGATGATCCCGCTACCGTGACTCTGCATGGAGGAGAGGAGATCGCTGTCATCTGCCCCGTCTCTGGCGGATGAATTACTAGGGGCTCCGGTGGAATTGTGGCGGGGCTTGGGTGCAAGCCAAGGCGAGGGTGTGGAATTCAGAGGGGCCAAGGAAAGCAAGCTGTACGAGTACCGGTCACGACGTTGAACATAGATGAGGTTCCAAGCAGTACTTGGCGGGCCCTGAACCGACGCAGCCGCCGGCCGAGCATGAGAGACGAGGTTTCAGGCTGGGTAAGCACAGTGTTACACGAGTAGGATGTGATAGCCGTACTTGAGTGTCTCCACTGGGAATGGCGGATGGCGGCGGACGGCATAATGCAGCTCCTGAACGCTGGACATTTGAGCGAGGGGTCACTGACTCTCTGCGCAGCGATCCGGCCGGTGGAGAGGGGCGATAAAAGTAGCACATAGACGGCGAGTTGCGAACGTGCCTCGTCTATCGCTTGGCTGCCTTGGCCTTTCTCGACCCACTCATGTCTTAAAAGTCGCTCCCTACTTAGATTTTCTATCCGCCGCTGCAGACGAGAACGAGATGCTGCTCCTGGCCGAGTTCTTTACCTGGATCTTTGCCATCGCCATCCTCGTCTGCTGGGTCCTCCCCTCGGGTACAACCGCTCTCCCAATCCCACGCACACCACCAAAGGCCAAGAGACGGTGTGCATTCAAGGCCTACCGCCTCACTCTATCTACCTTCCTCGTCATCGAGGTCAATGACATCTACTCTGAACATCCATACATCTATGTGAAACGTGTGCCCGAAGCCAACACCATTCTCGTAACGGATACCGGCTGCGGAGGTGCCTCCAACGACCGTAAGGTCGACATCACTAGCCTGCGCGAATTTATCGAGACTGTCGGAGTGGAGGATAATGGCGGCAGGCCGCTTAATGAAGGAGGCAGTATGCGCTATGTTGTCGTGCTGACCCACTGCCACTATGACCACATCCGTACGTCGCATGTCCTAAACTGACCCACTCGTCGCTTACGGCTGCCGGATAGTAGGTGTCGAAGACTTCGCCAGAGATTCTCCCATCCTTCAGTCTTCATACTCGCCGTCCTTCGTCTCCCACGCAAACCTACCCGAACACTCCCTATGCGCAGACCTCGGTATTCGCACCCCGTTGTTTAAACCTACACTCGTTCCCCACCTTGATCCTATACACTCCGCGACCGGCGCTCCGCTGGGTGTAAGACTCCTCCACACACCTGGTCATACACCCGACGAGATAGCGCTGTGGGACGAACAAGAGCAAATGCTTTACGTCGGCGACACCTTGTACGAGTGGGAGCCGATCATCTTTCCTGGGGCAGGCAACATCCGCACGTGGCTTGCGTCTGTTGACGCACTTATCGCCTTCGTCATGCAGTCAAAATCACCACAGACAGCGCTCATCAACTCCGGACACCGGACGGCGGTGAGGCCGGCTCTGGAGGTGCTGCAGACGGCGAAAAGCTTCATGATGGATGTGCTCCTTGGAAAAGAAGGACCGAGGAATAGGACACGGAGGAGGGGGGAAGTTTACGTGGAGTATGCGCAAGACGGAGGCCGGTACAGTCTGCGGTGCCCCGAGCGTCTTGTGAAGGAGGCGAGAGATCCAGTTTGAAGCGAGAAATTATTAGGACAGTATCTCGCTACATTCGTTAGACTGTATTTCTACGGACAACGGACGGAAATTGTATACGCACATTCTAATTCATCTTCGAACTTTGCCACCCTTGATCATCTCTTTCTCCAGCTGGGACAAGAACACATCCGCTTCGTCGGCTGTCCGTTCGGGCCTCTCTTTCATTTTGCCTTTCTGGCTCGACGACCGTGCCTCCAGCGCGGCGAACGGGTCGACCGGTACTGAGGCAGGCTCCTGCGCACTTTGAGCGGGTGGTGATGGTCGAGCCTGAGCCTCACTACTTTCGTGCGATTCGGCTCGTTCGGGTCCCCCCTGCTTCCTCCTCTTGGCATCCAACAACTTCCGCCTTTCCTCCAACTCGCGCTTGCGCTTCTCCGTCGCCCTGCTCCTCGCCCCCACAGCCGCGGACCCTTCACCCTTGTCACCGGGCGCACGCATACCCTCCGTCTCGCCCGGGCGCGCGTCCGCCGCACCAAGCTCTGCACGCGTTTTTTCTGTTTCCTCGCGGGCACGCCGCAGATCCTCCATCTGCTTGCGGCGTGTCTCTTCGTCCGCGGAGAACTGATAGAACCCAGCACCCTTGGCACGCACTTCTCGCGAGGCGTCGAAGTGGACGTTTAGTGGGTTGTTCTCCTCCGCGAACTCTGCTTCGATGGCAGCAACCCGTTCTGCCGACGGCTCGTAGACAGGGAAATGATCAACCGGGTTGTCTGTGTGCACGAATGAGCGGTAGAGCGAGGAAGATAGAGCTAAAATGTACATATTACGAAGGGACTAGAGTAACAGAACCGTGATCAGCGAGGCACGATATCAAATGTAGTGAATATGCGTACTCAATGTCTTCCTCTTGTTCTTCTTCCGATTTGGGCAGAAGGTGACGTGGAACCTCTGAACGGGGGGCGGTTCTTATTCGCCCAAACTCGTCCTCGTATTCTATCACAGGATCGTCCTGCGCATATATGCACTGTGAATTCACTCTGCAAGCACCAGTACGGGAGCAACGCACATTGCCACCATCCGGTGCCTTCGGAACTGTCAGCGACTCGTCCTCGTCGTCGCTGTCCGACTCGTACGGATCTATGGGCATCTGCTCAAACTGTGGACGTCGTCAGCAGCGCTCCGCAGACAGTGATGCACACGCATACATCTACGAGCAGTGCATCGTACTGCTTCTCGCTGAGCCCCCCACTCTTCCCCTTGCGCAACTTCTCGTATATCTTTGCTTTACGCTCGAGGACCGCGCGCGCAGAGTCCAAAGTAGGCTTGCTAATCTCCTCCAACTCGATGTCCCGCGCCGCACGAGCCTTCACCCCCGCGTTTTGTCTCGCCCATACAGTAGGTTTCTGCAGAGAGAAAATGAGCTGTTGCGCTAAGCAGAGACACCCGAGTGCACCTTGTCGGGCCGCTTAATGCCGCCAACGAGGGCGGAAGCCTTTCCTGCCGCCTTGTTCTTCGTAAACTCTTCTTCCTGCTTTGCAAGCTCGGCCTTCAAGTCAAAGAAAGAACTCGCGCTGACGCCTGCTGCCTTGGCTTTGTTTTTGGGTGCCATGACGGGCCACAACACGCCGACTGGAGAGACTCGGACAGCGATTATGCGTTGAGAGCACGTGCGCATGAGGAACGAAGCTCTTGGACAACAGGCGCAAATAGAGCGTCACGCATTTGCCACCGCTACGCTACGTCACATTATGATCTCAACCCAGGGACCAGAGACTCTGATCCGCTTGGGACGATCAAGACTAAGAGTGATCAATGCTGTAAGTATGGCGATCGATACAACTATCCAAGCGTGAGACGACCTCGATCAATGTGCTAGTGGAACAGATTCATCGGTTGAGCGATCGTTCGGAGCTTTTTAGTCCGTAATATGGAGCCCGACTCGCACAAGAACGGGTCGCACGACATGACTTGCAGCTGGGAAATCGTCGGTTTGCTAAAGAGTTACTCCGATTCATTCAGCGGCGCCGAACAATCGTTCGGTCGCGCGCAACGTAGCCTAACAGCGACTTTCAGTCAGAGGTGCTTCAGGAACGTTTGCCTAAAATTACATACCTAACAGTCGCTGTCCGTTACTGTATGTACAAGTATATAATACAATGTAGATGGAAAACATACGAGGTGCTTCAGAAACGGTTGCCTGAAGCACCGATGTCAGCAGAACAGGAATATATATATAAGAATCGAGTGCGGATAGTTGTCTATCATGACCGTGATAATCGTTCGAGTCCGTGCGCCTTTCGTAGACACACCGTATTCGCGCGCAGACCTCAGTCTACGACACGATCAACCTGCCGTACGTATCTGCAAGCACACAGTTAGAACAAATTCCATCGGATCATTGGAAATACGGTAGACCCACGTAGCATCGAGTTGCTCCACTTGTGGCAGCGCGAGCATCACCTTCCTGCGATAGTTAACTCCTTCCGACGCCTGAACTGGATTCCTCTCCAGATAGATCGTCCTCAGGGTTTCAACGTGCTTCAACTGGGGTTCGAGGGTGTCGAGGGTGTCTATGCGATTGTCGTTGATCTACTCATCTCCTTTTAATACAACAACGGCAAGGAAAACTTTGCACTAAAACTGACCCATAGCTCTCCCAGCGTTGTAGAGTGGGACAGGTTCTCGAGCGCTTTCACAAAGTTGTTTCCAACGTCCAGCACGCGCAATTTGGTCTGAGCGACACAATTAGTAGTCAGCTGGAATGGGATCCAGTGATGTCTCGGACAACCTCACATTCTTTTCGAGGCCTTCTAGCCGCTCGATGCCGTTATGGCTGAGATACAGCTCTTCTAGATCGTCTAACCCCTCCAGGCCTTCCAACTTTGTGATACGATTCGACTGTATCGACAAGATCTTCAAGCGTTTGAGCGATCCCAGGTTCTGGTTCAAATGTGGATTCAACACGCGACGCAGGAGTTTATGAATCCCCGCCCACCTCGAGCTTCACAATCTTGTTCTTTCCCAGCCATAATTCTTGAAGGTTTACCAGTGCATCCAAATTTTCTATTCTCTAGACATGTCCGCGCACCACAGTTCAAGCCTTCTCCGGTGAACGTGATGCGAATAGCGACTTACGCGCAGTCTGTTCCCGCCGAGCTCAAGGCTTCGCAGCGTTGTTCCGACGCTGTCAAGGCCGGATATTTGCGATATCTTGTTCTGGACAAAATAGACGGTGTCCAGAGCACGTAAATAGTGGAGGGTATCTGGAACGCGTCGCAAGAGATTGAAGGAGAGGTCTAACACGCTAGCCGCATACAAAATACAACAGAAATCAATTATGTGAGTCTCAGAAAGCAAGGATCCATGCGCTCACGTAAGCTTGCTCAGCCCGCTCAACGCCTCGTCGACCGTCTTCACCTTGTTATCATACAAATCCAGTTCTTCCAGCCCTGCGAGCGCCTTCATCACCTCCGGATCCAGTACGGAAATGTAGTTCTGGCGCAGACACAGCTTCTTCAGATGTGCGCCGAACCGCGGAAGACCCAGCGCGCTGATAGAGTGGATCCGAGCATGCACCAGGTCTATCTCCTGAGGGAAAGACGACAATTGCAGCCGGTCGTCGCGCACAAGAGCAGTATGAGTGGCGCACCTCCGTGTCGTCCGGCAGGTCCTCGAGGATCGCCGAGTCGTCCACTCTCGCCTCCTCCTGTGCCTCGTCCTCTGCACCGCTCGAGTCCCCGTCCGCCGCACTGACCTGCACAACGGTGGCTACTCGGGCGGACTTGGTGCTGTAAAAGAACAAAATGATCGGATACGCGCCACGGCACCGAGCAATATGCACTCGTACGGATGTGCGTTTGAGTTTCCTGAGGAGACTAGTATGGAGGTGGTCTCCTGCTTCCCGTTAGCAGGGGTACTTGATCCTTCCATTATGCTAAAGCCAGACTCGAGCTGTGGTTGTAGATGAAGGATAGAGTGATAGGGATTCAGCGAATCGACTCATTCGACCGTCCCGCCGCCTTGGTGATGGCGAACTAATAGACGCCTCAGAGTGCCTCAGTTAAGCGCCTCAAAACGATGACGCTTTCATCAATTATGTCGTCGCTGTGGAATGTTGGAGCAAGACGAAAGTCTAGTCCCGGTAGATCGAGGTGGAAGACCGGTACCAGATGTCCAAAATGTACAGCATATCTTGCACAATAGTACGCAAGCAGCGATCCATCGGTTACGACAAAGATTTGGTACCATAAGACAAGATAACTTATATTCATAATTATTTTTTCATCTTAGGCTACCTATTCAACTGCCAGGCGCTCGCGGATACTCCGCGTCGACAACGTGCCGTAACTTATGAGTCCGTCGACATGATAGTCGCGCAAGATTACGATCCTACCGCTTCCTGGTCCACTCCCAAGACACAAGTCGTAGCCATTCGCCCAACAAATATCTATCACTTTAGGATACAATACATAAAAAGCGCCAGGGGCGGCGACAGTAACGACCGGACAACTTCGCGCAGAACAGGTTTGACATCGGCGAGACGCGACACAGCCAGGAACGAGAATCTGAAGACGTTATAAATACCTTCAACGGAAAGACATGGTGGAATGGGCGCGATAGCGAGGGGGCAAACAACACAGACGGGATCTTCTCCTGCGAATAAGGAACGGAATATGCAGTCCAATTACGAGAGGCGTTTGTTACTAGTGTGTCTTTCACAAATCGATGTGCGTTACGCCCGACCGCAGATTGAT